AAAGCTAATGGACACTCCTCTGGCCAATGGATACTGTCTTGCCACCGAAAAATCTGCTGGGAGATTACCATGCTGCACAGGCCTAAGGTTTGTGCACACGCACGTGCCAAAGTAGTGGGTGCAATTCTGATGCATTCCGCCAGGGGGCGCAGCTGCTTGGAAGTCTTGCTGTTCGTGAGGCTGTGGATGGGGGGAGTTCAGTAGCCTGACGTCCTAGACAGGCAAGGTAGACTGGTAAGGCAGCCTGGTAAGGTAGACAGCCCAGGTTTTTCCGTAAACCCCTCAAGTAATATATTCCAAAGGCAGTTACATAAGATCAGCGGATGGATACATAACAAGAACAGTCAATGCTCTCTACATAACAGTAGAGGAAATAGGGAATCCATTTTACAGATTTAGGACACAAATTTTAAAGCATCAACAGAAAAAAGTGCAAGTGTACCAAAAACTTACCTTCTTTACAGTGTCACAACACATGTCTGCGATGTCAGAGTTAGAATGGTCCATTAGTGGCACTATAACAGCCATGATGTTAGTCCTGAAGTTGAAGTGCATCAGGCTGACTAGCAGTTCACACATGCACTTCACGGCCACCTCCATCAGACTGTGCAGGGCCTTCATTGGCAGCTTGTTCTGGCCACTCTGGAAGGATACAAATGTATATCATAAATCCATGGTTAGTTCTCTACACAAAACTTTTCTTAATTCCTTGTCAAATAATCTGTTTATTAGTCAATCAAACTGTCCAAATAATGTTTTACCATGCAATGGTTGTCTTGAAATGGAAGACTGAAGTATATATGGTCTGTGGTAGTTTTCTTTCTTTGTTTTTTGTTTCTAAGATAATAAAGTTCCTAGAATAGGTACCTCAAAAGTTCCATATGCAAGATTCAGTAACTTTGCATACAGGTGCAACTACAAAGCACTGGTACTATATAAAAATTATAATATGTAAAATATTGATACAAATACATACTATCCCTTGAGCCTTCTTCTTGCTAGTACAGGCCTTGATGATGTCTTCCATGTGCTGGAGGTACAGCTGGTACTGTCTCACAAGTCCTTCCTCCCACTCCACCAGCTGCTTCACATCTTTCTTCATCTTCTGCTGCATCTCCTTCTCTGTCCTAGTCCTGATGTGGTAGCCGGGTGCGATGTCCTTAAACACTTCACATAGCGACAACATCACCAACTTCCTCACCGTAACGGCCACCTGAGGATCCTCCTCATTCAGCATCACTCGCAGAGCCTTCAGGGATGACAGGGCCTCCTGGGGACTGTCCATGACACGGATGGAGAGTTTCGCAATCTGCATCTTACGCCGGGCGAGAGTCTCTTTCTTGAGTTTAAAAAGTTCCACTTCAGATAGTGTCTGGGACGTTGCTGTCGCTTTCACTTCACTTTTCTCTTCAACATCTTCTTCTTTATCCTCTTCCTCTTGTTCAACAACATCCTCTTCATCTGATTCAGTCTTTTCCATCATCTGTGGAATAATACCCCTCTCTCCTTTAATAGGAAGTAAATGCAGATACTTCCTATCCTCTGTTTTCATCTGGCGGAACTGTTTCCGTGGTAACTCCTCATAGTCTGCAACGTCATCCTCATCATTTTTTCTCCTCTTTTTCACACTCCTTTCTTCCTTATTTTCATCAACTTCAAGCGTGTCAGTGACAAAACTGATGTTTTGTCCCATGGTCTCCAGGTATTCCAAATGGTCATCATCGACCATATCATCTGGCACAACCTCTTCCTCAACATCTTCTCCGTCACTGCCAAGGTTGCCAAGATTAGCACCAGAGGCATTATTACCAATTTGTGTAGTGCCAAACTTGTTCTTGGCTTTCCCAGTGGCCTTCCTGCGCTTGTTGCTGGCTTTGGTCTGGGAGATGTTTCTACGTTTAATCGCACTGACCTTGGGCCCTTTGGACTTTACAGCTTTTCCCTTCGCCATGATATGCTGTTCTTAACGACAGCAATGTCCCGTGAAGGTATCGATAATGGTATAAACGTTCAGTGCGTAAAATATAAAGCCAGGTTACAACTTCATACAGCCATGTGCGGACACGAATGGGTCAAAGGTAACATTGGATCTATGAGAATGGGGGGATTATCAATTCTCTTATGCTTAGATAAATACGAAAGGTACAAGTTTACTGCAATGGTACACCACTTAGCTATTTATATAGAGCTAAAGCATAAAAATTCGAACATATATGAGAATGGATTGAGAATTTAACTATTTTTGTTGAGTGTAATTCCAACAACATCCCTACATGTTGCTGTTGGTTTAGCCCAGCCAAATCTCGTTGAATTCTCGCACAATACGAAATCTCGTGATATTTACTCCATCACTTCAAATTTCAATATGGCGGCGGTACCTTTGCCTCAGCACCAGAATGATTCCTGGTATTTGTCTCTTTTGGGTCTCGCAGAAAGTTTCAGGACTGCTAATCCACCCAAAATCAAGCTATGTATCCACTGCTTGGAAAGTATTTTCCAGTTCAACCCACCTCCTGGGATCGAGGCCCGGACACACTTGCAACTCGGCAGCTTATTGTTTACCCACACCAAAAACACCGACCTGGCGCGCTCCCACTTGGAAAAGGCGGTAAGAAATGCATTTTCAAAGCTCTTAATGTCGCTTTTAGCCATTTTTGTGAATTCATCGAATCCCTAGGCTAGTCTTCTCCGTGAATCTGTCACCCTGTGACCTTACTGAAGACTGTTTCTCGCTTCCGTTTCAGTGGCTGCTGACACAAACCGTATCCTTATCGTTTGCAAGATGATACTCTATTTGAAAGATGACATGTCCCGACCAGGCCTGCCTGTCCTGATTCATGTATGTCATGGGTGATTTGTCCCGCCAAATTTGACACATCATAACATCTAGTACTACCTTCGGCGTCCTCGGACGGTACAAACGTGGGCGGGATTGAGAGTGAGATGCCCTAACTGTCGTCTGTAGTGTAGGAGTGGTTACACGTTGTTAGAGGGTTACATGGGGTACAATACAGGTGATTCAGTGATCTCAAGGTTACCCCGGGGCAAAAGTTCGAGGACAGGAAATGATTAGGGAGATACCACAATAACAACTAGGTTGTCCTAGGTATGATGGTGCACTTTTTCAACAATTATTGCTCGTCTGGGGCACGGATTGCCCATAATGTGTGGAATAAAAACACAGAAATTACCACCTCCAGTAGTGGGGGATGAACTCGCATTTATGCCTCATCAAGGCTCGGCTGATAGTGAGGAGGTGGAAAATCCCTCAGGTGTGCAATTTTTCACTTTCACCTGCAAGTGGGATTGATTGGGGAATCAATATGTGTGTGGGCGTGTTACCGCTGCGTGCCTGGTAGGAGGAGGTGTGGGGTTGTAAAGCCCGTCTTGCCCTTAATGAATATTCCTACACCTTAACGACATTATGGCATGACGTACAGCAGTAATGTTCATTTAATGGCCACCAAAGGTGAGGATGGCATAGTGCTGTGCTTAGGATAGGGCCCTAATATTAGCAGCAAGCCTGAAGAGTTAAGCTTCTTGCGTAGGAAAATACAGCAAATCATTATTATTAAGACTTCTTAAGGTGAATTTTGATCAGAGTTACGTTTGATGTGCTTTTGTGAGGTGAGCAGTCAGCAATTCCTCACCTAGATGGCGTACAGATGAATTTCTGTTATTATTCTTTCTTGGAGCAATGCTCCATTTTGATTACATGAGTGCAGTACTTGATTTAATGTGTACATACAAAGATTCTATCAATTAGTTTTTGTTACATGTAACATGAATCCATATACGTAGAAGACTATGTTACAACATTGTTTCTTGTTAGCGTTGCTACTTTTGCTAGTACCACAAAACTTAAAAAAAACAGCAATTTTTGTCTGTTATCAAAATTCAAATACCTGTTTAGCACTTGTCCTGCCTACCTGCTTACAATGATACCAGATTCACAGTTATGCCATGTAAGGTCAAGAATATCACATTTAGCTACCTGCATTTATAAATAATAGTAACATTGGCATTTATCTTCAACAACTGTTCTCACCTTGAAACAGCTACCAGTATACCTGTAATATAATGCTGCACCCACATGATGTTAATTGCATTCTCAACAGACAACAAATTTGAGTAAGAAGCAAACATGATTTACCTCAATAAAAAATTTTGTAGCATGTCATTGTTTTTTTATCGTTTAATGACAATTAGGACATTTTATAAGTGATGATAAGAATTTTTAGCAGGGAATTTTGATGAAGTCTTAACATAACATGTAGTACTAGTAGCCTAGTACATGTACAGTACATGTCATGTATTAAATCAGATATGAGTAACGAGTAAGGGATGTCAAACAAGGAATTCAAGAATTTTGTCCAGAATGCGCCATGAAGACTTTTTTCTATACCTCATGGATGTAATGCTTGGGAGAATAGAGTAGCCAAAGCAATGAGTAGGATTTCTGCTGATTAATTCTTATAAAGCATCCATTGATAGTAATTGAATCACTGTGTAATACTATGATTTGTACCAATTGATGTGCCCCAGATTAGCATGAAAGAGTCTGCTAGTACTAGCTCTGCTTTTGTACTTGTCAAGTTTCGATCCTTAACCAGTCTTTAGGTCCCTGGATTTGACGATGTCAGATATGAGGCAGCAGCCATTTTGGCAAACCTTTACTACAAACACGTAAGTAATAGTACCATATTTCTACCTTCACATATATGGCAAGATCTCCAATAAAGGAAAATTCATGTCAGTAAGATATTTGTGGTACATGTCGGTATATCATGTTGGCAAATCATATATTATGATTTTTGGACGATTTGATAATCAGGCTTTCACTCCATGTAGCTAATTAGAAAATGATCTTGTCCCTCAATCTTAAATGATTGAAATTTTATATTTATAACATGATATCCAGGTAAAATGTTTTACAGGTAAAATGTCTTACAGTTACATGACATCTGTGTTCCACAGCAAAACCAGATCCAGCTTGCCAAGTCGTTGTTGAGGAAAGCGATCAGCACATCGCAGCCAGCACCCTACTGGCACTTCAGACTGCTATTCCAGTTAGCGGTAAGTTATGAGGAGTTGCTCAGGTCTTAATGGGCCCACTATAATGTAGCCCCTAATTTCAGACTGCCTGTAGTATGGCGGTTTAGCATAAAATCCATAAATCTAGCTTGGCTCACTAATGGGGATATGTGCATCAATGCCAGGATGAGAATATACATGCTTGGATTACTTATAAGGATTAACATTACTGATAATTACAACACAGACAAGGTATCTGAAACAAAAGCACAAAGTGATATTTACTCCATCACTTCAAATGTCAAATATGGTGGCGATACCTTTGCCTGACAGCAATTATGAATAGAATGATTACGGCAATTTCCGGGTTTTTGTCTCTTTCTTCATCTCGCAGAAAGTTTTAGGACATATTTTCATCAGCCAGAATCAAAATCTACTCATGTATGGGCCATCTTTGTAACCCTGAAGTTCCAAATCATTTGATCTCTTACTATAGCTGAACAATTAATGAACTTGAATGTACACTCCATGTAGCAAATCCATGCATGGGAAGGAGACAACATATCAGCCTGTGAGCTGTTGGGACATGGAGCAGAGTCTGCTGCCATGGCAGGGGCTTATTACACAAGGTAGGCTAGGGTAGACCAGCATTGTTAACAGTGTACATAGGAGCAAGTCATGCTATTAGACATTTCTGATGCTTTCCACTTTTAGGCATATTATTCATTGTAATTCTTGATGCTACAACTGAATACAGTGTCTTATTACAAACAATACTTGATGTAAAGATTTTGTAGCAACTAGTGAAGAGCTCAGATTCCCCCAGGTTTCCATGGTAACCCCCTCCAAATGGTCCAATACTTGAGGGATGGGAATTCCTCCTCAGTCAGAATAGGAAGGTTGTATTCCAGCAGTATTAATATGTGCCTTTTGTTATACCTTCCTGCTGTACTTCAGTGTGGGGTGGAGCTCACATCAGACCAACACTAGGTATGTGGCATGCCCCGCAATTACAGAACCCTGTCAGATCATTGCATGCCTTTCAATCACCCTGCATGCTTATCCAATAGATAGGATCATATAGATATATACACATTATCTGTGCTTATCTGTGCATGCATATGTGTTTGTAAGTGAGTTTATAATTTTATGTGTATTGGCAAAATTTGCTGCAGATTTGATATATACCTCACTATTATGCTTTTTTTGTACTTGCCAGATACGAGATACTGTATAGTCTCTTAATCCTGTAAATATATCTTGATGATTTATTGTCAGACTTAAAGAGAACTTAATGATCTGTGACCCCATGATGTGTGCAAAGCCAGTGAATGGTATAAAAATTCTCCACAGTACTAGAATATTGCTTGTCATTTTTTGCTTAATGCATAGCTTCATAATCATGAAGGCAGTGATTTTTGCACATCTTGGTTTCTGTGGTGTGGGGTTACTGTTAGTGAATGTACAGTTTGATCAGTAGGTTTGGACAATTGCCAATTGATGCACATCTCACATGGAGATAATATTCATCATAGCATATCTGTATGTGCAGAGTGTACTTATCAGATAAAATCATTAATGATGACATCATGACAATGGTTGTCATATATAAACCTGGAACATTATCAGAAATCAACACTGATGACAACTTTATACTCTGTAAAGTTGATGTTTGTGATTTCTTTCTTTTCTTACCTAGTACATGTAAATTACAGACTTGGATGTGATTTTTATGATTACTGAAATTATGCAATTCCTCAGTATCAAATGATGGGAATTCCATGCTAATGGTAGACATATGCACAGGTGGATTTTGTTAAATGCAGATTGTATAAATGTGGACCCCAGTTGTGTAATTAAGGATATGATACCATAATCTCTTACTGTTAAATGATGGATGTTTTATGATCATATATTCATAATGACATGATGTGTACCCCAAGCTCATATAATTTAGAGATTGCTTACAATGTGATTTCATATAGGTTTAGAAGAAGTTGAAAATATCTTCCAAAATATCAAAAATAGTTGTTTGCATACTACAATCTTAAGAATGTGTATCGTTTTGTTTTATTGCTCAACACATTGTATTATCCTAACCTCTAGTCTAATGTACAATAATTTTCCTCTCATATAGGGTAATGTTTATGCTGAGCAAGGCAATGGTGAGTATTTTCTGTTGTTAAATATTAATACATGTACCAGTATCTGTAAAGGATATGAAAACTGTAGTACATATACTACAAAAAAAAACATATGGAAAGAGTTTTGCAAAGAGCTTTTACTATTGGAAAATAGTAGTAGCGGGGAACAGTAGTCCCAGATCAAGCAGAGCATGCTTAATATGTTTTGATAAAGAATAATGGCCTTACCTGTATCTACAGTTTGAGCTCAAAGGTAAAAACCCTGTCCGGAATTGGTCAGTTACTACTTGTAGAGCTCTATGATACATGAAAAGCATGGATTTTTATTATTGTTTCTCTGTTTCCAGCTTCTGCTGATGGACAAGAAGTTCCACGAGGTCCACCCATTGTTGGCTCTGTGTAACAGCATGTTGGAGTCATGGACTGGACACCCCACACACAGAGAAACACTCAGAGTGTACCTACTGGTGCTGCAAGTCACCAACTTCCTCATGGTTGGACAGGTAAACATGACACTCTTCTTTTCGCTTTTGTCACTTCTGTAACTTGTAAGGCCAAACCACCTAAGCTCTGTGATGACATCTGTGGATTCCAGATGTGCATACAAAAATGGCAATCCCAAATGCCTTTAACGGAAACTATTATCTGAAGAATATTTACCATGTATGTCAGCTTTCTTTTTTTGATGGTGACTTCAATTAGTTGAGTCAATTATATGTCAGATATGTGACTCAAAGAATGTTGAAAAAGGTTGTCAGTGGGATTGTTGTGATATTGAAAAGTTACAGAAATACCATAGCCCTGAAGTGGTGTTTTTCTTCTGCAAGGGGCTCACCAGCTTGTTGTGTGATGTTCATCCACAGGTGAAAAGTGTCAAACCGTACTTGAAACAGTTGCAGCAGAGTATACAGACCATCACAGCTCTCCACACAGATGATGAGCCGCCCCCCTCCCACCCTGCTGACCTGTTCCAGTGGCTCCCCAAGGAGCACATGTGTGTCCTGGTCTACCTGGTGAGTTCTACACATGACTGGATGATTGGAAATTAAAAGTCATTAATCTGTCTGGCTTTTTGGTGTCCTTGATATCCTTGAATTGCTTGATGAGTTTACATATTTGGATTACTTAATAGTTGATACTGGGACAGTTACCCACGAAAGAGCACATGTAAGTGGGGCACGTCTTTTGCTGTAATTGTCGACCATGAAATGAAGCTAGACACTCATGACAACCACCAACCGTCCTGTCTCCAGGTTACTGTGATGCACTCCATGCAAGCAGGCTACATGGACAAGGCACAGAAGTACACAGACAAGGCCCTCATGCAGATAGAGAAGCTCAAAAGTAAGTGGCTCAATGATTTATAAGAAGTCATACTAAGAAGGCACTTAAACATTTTTTTTACAAACTAGTCATTGCTTTCTTCACAATTGCATGCTGTTTATTTCATGTACACAGTCCTGGACTCCAGCCCGATCCTGTCCACCTTCCAGCTGATGTTGTTAGAACACATCATCATGTGCAGACTAGTCATGGGTCAGCAGTCCATAGCAGTGCAGGAGGTGGGTACAGGACACCTGCACATTCCTCTGGCAGTACTTATACACTCTTTTTCCATGGCAAAAATGTCAGAAATGTACTACACAATTAAAAGACCTACTGTTGGATTAAATAAGACATTATATAGCACTTAGGCAGTAGGTATTAGGCAGTTACATTTTTTTGGCGATGCTTCAGGGGCAGAGGCATTTGTGTAAGTACTAAGATCGCTTTGAAAGAATTTTAAGACAAATGCATTCCCTCGGGAATTGGTTTTGAGCCTTCAGCCAGGTGGTCTTTGGACCAAGCAGGAAAGGCCTTTGTCGCTATGCATGTGACGGGCACCATTTTGGGCAAATTGTGGCTATTTTGCACACAAAATATTAATGACTGTCTTTATTGATGTTTCAAACATGTCTTCTTCTATCAAGAAAGAGCAAACAATATAGCACATTTTTGTTGCTCATGAGAAAGAACTAGGAGCAGTATATTCAAGCTTTATGCTTCAAATAACTTTTTAGTTTCAACTAATATCGACATGTGACCACCTATGAACGCAATTATATGTTGAATCTTACAAAATCAGCTTTAAAATGTTTAAGTCAAGATTCAGCTGCAAAAGATTTGCCTGCCCATCAATAACAAACTTTTTGTACAATTTTTTACAATGAGTTGAGGAAGGCTACGAGTGGGGTAGGGGAAGAGTTGAGGAAGGCTACGAATGGGGTAGGGGGAAGAGTTGGTTGAATAAGATTAGGATTAGGACCTTATATTTATGACCAATATGCAAATGTCATTATATTGCTCCTGGAAGAATGGCTGCCTTGTACTATATGCTTAAATGTGTATTTAGTATATAGCCTGCACAGTAAAAAAGATATCATTACAACAAAAGGAGCCCTATGAAATGCCTAAAACATGCCAAAAATATGCTTAAGCCTAAATCTTTTGACCTCTTCCACCAATCCTGTATAATTCGCAACACGCAAGTGTAGTGAACATTTGTAAAGGAGATTTCTGGCTCCACCCCATACAATAATAAAGGGTTAATGCACTGCCCCGAGTTGTATATGGTGTCATAACTGCATGAGCAGCTGCCATAACCACCGAATAAACCACCGTGTGAGCGAAGCGAACGAGGTGGTTTATGAGGTGGTTATGGCAGCTGCCCATGCAGTTATGACACCATATACAACGAGGAAAAGGCAGTGCATTAAAATTATTATCATATAGCCTATCCAAACTGTCAATCAACACAATTCCTGTTTGAAATACAACAGCTTTAATATATATACATACATAAAAATACATTCGAATATATTATACGCTTTAAAACAAATATGGATAATTTCATTTAATGCAAATTGTAGTTTAAATGAAGCTAAACAAAAAAGTTTATTGGACAGAAAAATGCTACAAAGGTTTACAGAAAGAGTCGCATGCCCCTATACCCTATAACATAATGGTATCAGCCATAACACCACATGTGCTGTTATTCCGCCATAACACCACATGTGCTGTTATCGGGAAATAACAGCACGGGTATCCGGGCCTCTGATTGGTCCACGCCGTCCGGCTATATGATAATAATCATTAAATCATCGCTATGGTAATGATTTTTATAGCCTTTCTTGTTTAAGTTGCTTGTTTGCTTGTGGCCAATACAGCTTTGTTCCTCTCCTTCTGCAGATATCACAGGCCTGCCATGTATGTCATGAGCAGCCCAAACTGTTTGTAACCCACGGGGCCCAGCTGCACACGTTACTGGGGTTGTACGCTATGTCCATGGGCTGTCTGGACAGTGCAGAGGGACAACTTAACGCAGCACTTAGGGTATGACACCTGTGTAACAAATTTGACTATACCCCTGACCAAACTATCCTCTGGCAATTGTTATGTATTGATGGTGTAATACATAGTATCATCATGTAATGGAAATTACTAGTAACTGTTATGTCATCATGATAGGTTATTGAAATACTGTAAATTGTAACCAAGTTATTGATTTATCTCTAAACATCCTGTGCAGATATATGCCATACCTTCACCTTTCCTACTGCACTGTAAAGAGATTGTAATCAGGTTCAGTGTGGGGAAAATCTGACAACCTCTGTCTCCCTGCAGATCATGTCTAACACCATGGCCGCATCTCGTCTCGCAAGCTCCACTCACGCAAGACCACAGACAGAATCCAGGGTCAGTATCTCTTCCCTATCTAATACTGGTCTTTCTATAGTCTTTGGATACATTGATTTGAAAGGCCATTGCATTAATCATTTGTCACAGGCATACTTGTACTTTCATGCAAAGACAAATGATTATTTCCAGTTGTTTTCATGTTGTATGCATGTATTCCAACATTCAGTTCATACAAGTAAAAGACTTAATGCAGGTTTATATAACTAAGTACATCAGCTCAGCTTGAATGCTCCTTGTTTATGTCTCTATTATATCCTTTCCAATAGTTATCCCAACAGCCAGAACTGTGGATGTTCACATCGTTGAACCTGGCCATTGTCTACCTCAGGAGTGGGAAGAACCAGCAGGTTAGGAATCATATGACTGATTGTTTAACAGTACTTTTCGTGACATGGAAAATCCTGGAAAAGTTGCACATTATCTCAATACATGTATTTTTATGTTGCATGTAGATCAATTGTTGTGTATCTCAGATGATGGCATTGTTTTGTGTTGATAAATGTTGACTCATTGATATTCCTTCCTGTATTGTTCCAGCTATTAAGTTTACTAGAAAGAATAAATCCAGACACCTATCCCAGTAGGTAAGTATGATCCTAGTATTTGGGCAGCTTTTGGGTGATTCAAGAATTAAATGCTTTATTTAACAATTCTTCTAACTTATGACTTTGTTTAGAGGTACAGGTATTAGTGGATCTCTTTATCAAAGAGAATGAAAAAATAGTGTCAATTTTTTTTGCTGTTTTAACTTTCCATGTTGCTTATCAAGTATGCTCTCTGTTTCCCCCCAGTTCTCATGCAATGACAGCGGCTGGCTACTACATCAGGGGCTTGCAATCATTCTTCCAGGAAAGATATCACGAAGCAAAGTATGTAAACATATTAATTTATTGTTCCTTTGTATCTGTGGCAACTCTGTATTTCTTGTCATTGTGTACTTTAAGTTTGAGTTCTATTGCTCATTACGTTGTGTTTCTTGTCTTACAGGAGATACCTTAGAGAAACCCTGAAGATGTCCAACGCAGAAGACTTGAATAGATTGACGTCTTGTTCACTGGTTCTGCTAGGTCACATCTTCTTGTCATTAGGGAACAGCAGAGTAAGTAAACTTACATAAGGCCTCAGAAAGTAATTTTTATGGATGGCTTCAGCACACACATTAATTTTCAGTGAAAGTGGTCAACATGCCAAAAATGGGCAAAGAGAGGAGACAAGACAAGGCTCTTATTTATTGTTTTGTCTTTTACTTTGATGCAGTAATGTATTTCATTTTATATTTAATGTTCCCATTGAATCAAAACCATTTAAGAACTTTAATTTTTGAAAGTTGTTGTAACACAATATACTAGTAGGTATCATTTCTTGTATAACAAGGTTTATGATTTGAAAATGTAGGAATATTGTTTTTTTGGCCTGCCTTTTTTTTCACCCTATCGAACTAGATTTGGAGTCTAAGGAGGATGTCATCCATAAAATTTACTTGTACTTGCTGTGTCCTAACATCATATAACTGCTTTTAACAGTTTTATGCTGTCATTCCTGATATTTATTGGCATTCAATTTAGCAAAATCAAATGCCTGATGTCAACAGACTTAGATGATGTCAAAGAAAACATGTAATCTTACGATAATTTGATATAGATCCATTATCACAGATGTGAAATGTTCCTCCACAGGAAAGTATGAACATGGTCCTCCCAGCTATGCAGCTTGCCAGCAAAATTCCAGATGTTGACATTCAGATGTGGTCAGCACACTTACTCAAAGGTAACATTCAGTATTGGTCTGCAAGGGAACTATAATTTTCTATAGGACTTAGGTTGTTGGAATGATAACAAAATCAAACAGTGGTTTGTTTATTTATTCATCAAGTGTGGATCTAGATGGTCTTACAGCTTAAGGTGATAAAGTCGATCCCCAAAACTTTAAGGCAATATGTTGATCAGGACATCAGGTCTGAAGCAGACTCGAGCTGTTTATTGAAAAAAATGCAGTCATTGATATCTTCAGTTAACACCTGAAACCTTGCTTGATTTAGTGAACTAAATCATTAACTGTTGTTACTTTTTTTTATGGGTTCCATATTGCTTTTTCTGGTGTTTCTTCTTCTCCTCCTCTTTCTTCTCCTGCCATTTTTTAAATGGATTCAGCTTCTTCATTTTAGGGCCCAAGGTCCTGAAATTTGGTATGGAGGTACAGTGGGCAAATACCCCTAGGCGTTTTTTAAATTATTGTGATACAGGCTTTTAGAATGGTTTTATTTGAGTTTTTTGGCTGTGTTATAGCAAATGTATTACTGTGTTAGTGTGCCTTGTTTACCACGTTTGGGCATGAGTCATCACAATGGAATGCAGGGCATCAACCAATAGGCATGCAGCTTTCCTCTATACTTCTTGCTGATTGGCTGTTGGGATTTAACTTGATTAACACCTGCACAGAAGCATTTCCATACTGACAGTATGTCTGTATTCAAGTGTTTTGGTAGGTATTTCAAGCTTTCCTGCTCCAGCATTGGAATGCCGGGCATGGACGTTTTTTTTTATTTTGAAAATCAACAGTTTGCATTATGCAATTAAAAATCCTAACCAATAAAGTAGGGAATAGCTATCCAACTGTTGTTTTAGTTGTATTTTACTTCATATTATAGTTATATCAATGTAAATCATTGTTTTCCCTTGTGTTTCCCATTCTTTCCCTGCCATGTCGTAAAATGTGGTGAACCCATCGCTGTATTTGCTCCAAAGCAAATATTGGCCTTTCTAGTTTTAAATGGTTTATTTGCAAATTGACATAAAACTAAAATAACATTGCAGCCTAATAATACAAAGTATTGTACAAAAGGCTGAATTACGTAGTTTTAGGGAACACACAAAATGTCATTAATATTTACAAACATAACCAAACTAAATAACAAGAATATATATAATTGGTAGCGGGTAATTACACGGTAGACGAAGAACTGAGTTTAGACGGGTATGGAATAGCACTGTTCCTGTACCTTTCAGATTTTTTAGATGGTAGGCTAAGCTGGAACCCCCCTTTTAAGTCCCTATTATGTACTTCATTTCGGGTGGGGTGTACTCGAGGTTGACTTACTGTATCATAGGTCTGGACAGTGACTGTTATATCAAGCCATGTTTAGATAATTCTTGAATGGCATGTTTTTCTTGTCTTTTGCTGCCCTCAGACCTGTATCACATGATGGGTGATCCCATTAGAGCAGGGGAGGGTGGACAGATGCACTACAACTTTTCCCAGCAGCAGATGAACGAGCGTTTCAGGTCTTCCCAGCAGATAGAACACAACTTGATACAGGTAGGCCCATTAGAACTCCTGAAGGGCAGGGGAAATGTAATACCATAATGGCACTTGAATTTCATGTGAAACCTAGATGCTGTAAATTCATTTTCTGCTGAGAAGGAAAAAGAGGTTTTTAAGTTTGTGGGTGAAAAAAATTCTGTAGGACAATTATAGAATACAAAACATACAGTGTCATGATTTCACAGTAGGAATTCACTGCGAAAACAGAGGGAATAAGACTACTGCAAACATTCCAAGATTTAAAGCACAAGCAAAGAAATGTTAATGAAAGATAAAATTTGTGGGTTTTTTTCGGTTGAACATCTGCCCATATTTACCTGTTTTGTGTACTGCTGTGTGAATTTCAGTGTGACTGATGAAATTTTGTCCCTCCTCAGTGGTTAGATGGACCGTGCCCCATGCACCTGGCAGTCACCGACGGGCCCAGCCACAGTGGAACCATATTGTAGCACAGGCTGGTTGCCACCGTTTCTTTGTAGCATAGGATGTAAAGTACACAACATAAGGTGCCTGAGAGGCTCTGCCCTACAGAAAGGAGTCACACCTGCAAGGATCTGCCTATATTGTAGCTTCTACAACTGTTCCAATACTTGTGCCCATTTCATATTTCAACATAACCAACAAAAATTATAAAAAAAAGAAGTAAGGTCCATCGTCAGTTCACATTAGTTATGTGTGAGTTGACTGTTACCCTTCTGATAATTCCCTTAAGTACCGGTATCCCGGCATTACATGCCTTTGAAGGAAAAGGTAGCATCTTGCAAGCATTTGTCCTTACGCTTATGCCATAAAATGAAGTAAACCTAAAACAGTGGATACACAAAGGTCTTTGTACACAACCAAGTTTTTATATCTAACTAATGTTTTCATAAACAACCTGGTTAAAATATCCAAAACATGTTTAAGTATCTCTTTTCGATATGTTTAAAAGAGAAAAAAAATGTAATGGGTACATGTAGGTCTACATATTAAGCATATCCTTGCAGTGTCAATCCTTACCAGTGCACATGCTATTGGAGAATAAGGGAGTGGGATCATCTACTGGCCTCTTCTTTAAATGCCTTCAACTTATTTCTAAAATTAAGCAACACAGAAACAGCATTTCGTCCTGAGGCATGGTTTTGTTACTGTTTCCAACTAAGGGAAACATTTTGCCCCAACTTTTTTTAAAATAAACAACCTATTGAAAACTGAGACCTTTTTGAACATTCCCTATACTTTTCAATCACATGTGCATTGGAGACTTTGCCAAGGAAGTCAGCTTAAATATATGTACATATTTGAATATAACCTATTTTGAGTAAATATGGTGTGAAAGTGGAACATACAAGCTCTGACAAAAGGAAAACTTTGTACAAATTGATGTGTTGGACTTCCTTGATGTTGTTTCTATCTTGAGAGAAATGTTTCCCTCTCAACTGTACACAAAATACCTTGCTCTCAATACTTGTCGCTCAAATTCTCTTGTACAATGGAAAATTACATTGTACAAGATCGAGATCCTGACACCGGTTTTGGAGTTTGAGCCACCAGATTTGATTCAAGGGACTGTCTATGTAGGTGTTGCAATTGACCTAAAATGTTGTCTAGAAATATTTGTCGGGTAGGTTTACACAATGTATATCAGAAGGGTCCACAAAATATTTTCCATTGGAAAAAATTTGGTCAGTATTTTTTATGGTCATTCCATAACTTCTCTCTACTTTCAGCAAAGCAAAATTACTGTTCCAATGATGGTCATTTCCTGATTGAAGTATTTTTCTGTACGGATAATTGGAAAAGTGAGGACTATGATGTGAAGAGCAAGTTTGCCATGCAGAAAGCATTTTCTCTAAAGCACCTTTTGTAAAGATACATGTAAATATAACAATACAGCAGTACTTGTATTATAAAAAAAATAATCACTGTTAGTGTTAGTCAGTGTAGTTGTTGCTTCTCTGAGGGGATGGTGTCAATTCAGCATAGAAAGATGCCCACTTGTGCTAATGTCAGTGCTATCAATTGCCAGTGTACTGTGTACATATAGTGTCTACTAAACCAAGGTGGCCCTAACATTGTATGTGTACACATTTGCATGTGTGATTTCTGTCTATAGCCAAATGCTATGTTTCAAAAAAAGATTCAATCGCCGTCTGCTTTAGGTGAAGACTACCATCCCATTCTCTGTTAGTCTCTGGTGTTGATACACAGGTCAGTAGCCAAGTTGAGAATGACTTAAACAACAAACTGCCCCCAGAAAGACTTAACACTGGTGTAGGAAAAGTTTGTACATACATGTAGCAGCTGTAGTGATGCTAATCAGGCAATGGGTATCAGGTTATAATTAGTAGTGCGATGGGATGGTGCAGTTAAGTGCATGGCCAGATAACACAAAAAATCTTGGTTATGGCATGATAATGAATTACGATAGTCAAATACAAAACAAGATGACCACCTATAGAATGTTGATGTGGAAATGCTTCACTCTTTGAGATATTTACATGTAATTTAAAGATGTTGGTTAAATACGTTAGGTTTATCAAGGTGTTCTATTTTTACATTTTTATAAAGACCGTTGGCAGATTTTATCGTTAATTTGTGTTTAAGGTTAACTGTTTTGGACACTATCTCCCCAGATAGGAGCAAAGCCAATATGCTTGAAGATAATGTGTGTTTCAGGTTCAGTGTTTGTTAGAGTAGTGATATAATACATGTAGCTCTGTTCCAAAGTGTCTGGATATAGTAGTGCTTTCACAACTGTCTGGGAATCTCTCTTTGTAAAGTTGTATCTTATAAAGGGGAATCTCTCTTTGTAAATCTCTCTTTTCATCTTTACTTGACATTGTCATGCTAGCATATATACTTTGCTTTTGCACTAGACCTACATCTGTAACATGGACTTTGTATGCTTTAATGCTTGGAAAAGATCCTGCAAATTCATAAATTCCTTGGGAAAATGAACATTTGTACAGTAGAAACTGTTTTGTATTGCCATAATAGCCATACAACTCGGAAAGCAGCTGACGCAAGTGCAATGTCCTGGCACAATATACAATGACAAAAACCCAGAGCACCTGACTGTTATTTCTTGACTTTGGAACATTCCACTTGAAATTATCCTGTTCATTGTTCCCTTTGGTTTTTGAGTACCCACTCTATCTGTCCTGAAATTCTGAAAGCAAGACATTTATTCAGGGCACTCATAACTTCAAAATGGCCTAATTCACTTACCCAAAGTAATTGTCATGATATCCTTATAAACAGTGATCCTGATGAATTCAAAAGCCTACAAGTTAGATTATATACAATACTAGTCTTTATGATGGGGGAACTAGCATTTCTTTCTCAACAGCTGCCTTATTCCAAGCATTTTATTCTTTACTGTCATTAACTTCCATACAAATGAGCTATACTGTAGTTGAGTGATAAATTATACACTTAGTTAAGCACATTTTGGTCCATCTTCCATTAGCTTAAAAAATAGTCAACCATCTCAAATGTACATAGAATACCCATTCAGAATAAGGTCCCAAAAACTAAAGTATCTTATACTGTTATAGTCTCTTTCCTTTGTTTCATTCACTCCACAACATGTGTTCTTTTAACTTTTGTTAACTATGTTCTACCTAATTTTACTAATAATACCAGTTGTGTTGCTGACTTGCAATGTATTAGTGTAGTGTTGTTAACTTGTTGCAACTAACCTTGAAAATATGACGAGTGGAAGCTTGTCATTTTGCAATGTATTTTATGATATATTCTCAGATAAAAAGTTTTGCTGTGGCAGTCCCAGCAAACTGCAACAGCATCCATCTGTTGTATCGGATTACACAATGTGAAGTCTCTGATCCTGAATGTTTTAAGGGTTGCAGTCTCCTAGCGGTTCTTTTTCAGGATGTGGTTTTGTACAGATATAAACTCTTGTATTTATAATTGTAATGTTCCACTTTTGTATGTTCCATGCTTCAGCAGAATGACAAAATGTAGCAGAGCGAAATCATTTATCTAGATGTAGAAGGCCTTTTGCACATAAAGTATGTTCTGAGATATTGTGGCAGACCAAATACTGTTTTCAGACCAAGGAAAGGTGTATCTGACATTTTGTTATTTATTTTTATCAAGTATTATTACACAGATTGTTGTTGAATGGATGGGTATTGTAAAAAAAATAAAGTATTGTTCAATACCATTAGTGTACATGTATGAGAGATCATTTGCACATTTTAAAAAACTGTACCCACTTATTTTGGGATGACATACATATATAAGGCCACACCAATTTAATTTGTCGGTTCTCGGATTCGCCTCTTCGTTTTTTTCTGATTTGCAAAAAAAAAAGTTGATTCTGGTCCTGAATCAACTGAAAAATGCTCATGTTTTGCCCCCAACAGTTGAGGAAAGTCCTTTTCTTCCTAGTTGTTACAGTTTTCCCATCTATCATTGCAGTGGTTTGATTAAAAGTTCAAAATTCAATGTTTGAATTTTAACCCATCCTTTTATGTTGACTTCATGGCTCATTCCATAGCATTTAAGCCTATAATAGGATGCCTAGACCTGTTTTTATTTTTATTTTTTTCGCCCTGTCGCTTCATATTTTTTCTGAAAAAATCCGAGAACCAACAAATTAAATTGGTGTGGCCTAAGATATAGTCGTCATTACAATATTCACTTTGAGCTAACCTCCTTGGGTAGACGCGTTTTCATGTTTAGGCCACACTGATTTAATTTTATGGATGACATTCCTGTGCGCATTGATTTTTGCCTGTTCTCAAAGAGAAAAATTTCTGTGGAGTTTCAGCAGCCTGGGTGCCATCCTCTGTAGTCCATGGTAGCTAGCCACAATAGGGAGCCAGTGGTACCCAGGCAGCTGAAGCTCCACAGAACTCTGTACTGTGTGTGACTCGTAAAGGCCAGCATGTGGTCGTAAAAGTCGCTATGTACTACCTCCAATTGACAATGCCAGCTTTCGCTTTGTATTCCTGTAGTTTAGGCCACACCAATTTAATTTCTTGGTTAACGGATGTTTCTAGAAAAATAATGGAGCGGGCGGGCGAAAAAAATAAAAACAAGCCTAGGCATCGTATTATGGCCCAAAATGGTACGATAGGAGCCATGAAGTCAACACACCAGGCTGCTTCAAAATTTAAACAATGAATTTTGAACTTTTAATGATACCATTGCATTGAAAGATGGAATAACTGTAACAACTAGGATGAAAAGGTCTGTTTTCAACTGTTCAGGGCAAAATATGAGCATTTTGCAGTTGATTCTGGATTTTTATTTTTATTTGCAAATCTGAAAAAAATGAAGCGGCGAATCCGTTAACCAAGAAATTAAATTGGTGTGGCCTTAGCAGCATTTTTTTTGTTGGAATTTTTTTTTTGCCCGAGGCCGTGCGCACTACTGGGGGTATTCAGGGGATGTCATCAATAAAATTAAGTCAGTGTGGCCTCATAAATTACCAAAACCAAAGAGCTTTAAAAAACACCCAAGGATGTCTACATGTAAATAAGGATTGAAGGTCTATGCCATTTTCTTACGCCAGTGGGGCCCAAGCTTTTCCTGCAAAAATCCAAGAAACGGCCAAGTTGCTTTGGACTTGATTTTTCCTCATATTGGTTCATGTGGGTGACAGGTGAAATCTCAGCCATGCTACCATGGTAACGAGTCATGTGACCATTTACGTAACTGCCCAATGACGTATCTGTTGAAGCTGTCATGTCACCGACATCAAGTGTCAGTGGGCGTGGCTTAATTTGTCATGTGACGTGACCTAATTTGGGATTCTCTAGTTGCAGCCAGCTTTGTTTGTGCCCTCATGACTGATATGCAGCAGGAATAGGACATCAGAGTCAGACATTACATTTTGCAACTTTAAACTCATGTGAAGCATGGATAAAATCTCCCTAATTATCATGCTTCAGAAGAATTCATCCTAAGACATTGTTACCAGTGTCATGTGCCATAGTCGTTTTAGATTTGTAGGGCAGTCACAGTGCATATTTATATTTCAGTCCATACCATATATGGTATGGATGATCCAACACTTCACTGACAGTTTACTTCAGTTGAGAAAAACCTAGTTGAATTTGTGACATCTTATATGACATCTTTATTGTGCCTTACTGCCTAAAGGGCCAAGAAACATGTATTGCGATGGCAAACCAAGCTGTCAGTACATTCAGACATACATAGATACAGTGAATCAACATACTTACATGTCTAGAATACTAATAGGAGAACACCTGTAAACAGAATTGACTTCTGTTGTCTTCAATAGTAATGGTGGTAGAGTAATGGTGGTAGTGGCAACAATGACAGTAAAGACCATAAGTCAAGGCAGAACTGCCCACCTGCTTTGAGATGTTTTAAGTTTATGTACAAAACTGTACTGTAGTTCGTAATTGGACTGCTCTAACTCAACATCAAGTGTCGGGACTTTCACGTAATGCATTTTGAGTGCCAAGGATTTTGGGCAATTCGCAATGCACTACCTCCATGCAGACCACCAGAAGTAGAAGCTTTGAATACTGAATTCAGAAATTTATATGACAATAACTATCACTGATTGACAAATTTGACAAATGTATTCATTTGAACTTATAACAGTAGGTTTATACAAAACATTGCTGAACAAATATACCGGTATCCCACCACTCACAATTGATTTAAAACTGCAAAGTGAACTGTGAGAAAAGACAGCCAAATCTTTACCCATAAGTTAAATATTAGTATGAGCACTGCAAGAAGGTTTCTTGGTACGAGCAAGGATGTTTTATCGAGATAAAAGTGTGAAAACCTCCTTTGTACTTGATGAAACCTACTTGCTGAGACTAGCAAAAACGTCACACTGCAGAGAAGACAAAAACTTCATCTCACTGCGTGATAACAATTATCGTTGATGTGAACAAGGATTTTTCAAAGCTCAAAGTCATTGATGTGGACGGTTATCAAAGGCCATCAAAGTATGAAAACTTCAAACACCATTGCAAATTGTACATTAGAACAGAAAAAGAGTAAAAAGAAGCAACCTTTTGACGATCTTGTGCATTTCCAAAACTTTTTTTCAGCTGGTAACTGTTACTTCTTATAATCTCTCATAAGTGCAGAGAGCTGATTGAGCCTGAATGCGTAATTAATTGATAAACAGCTGTTCGTCACCTATCAGATGCAAAATAGACAGGTCATATATGATCTAAATACTTTTATTCTAAATTCTGCTCGGTACTTGGAAGCTAGAAATGTTCTGAAAATGACAGTTTTATGACTGATCGATTAATTACGATTGATCGATTGGTATTTGTTAGGTGGGGCGGATGGCCATAATTATGGTGAACACAAAGGCTCCCGTTTCCTCCACAACCTGGTCAACCAATCAGCTTGCGGTGTTCACAGGGTGATGATGTCACTGCTTCATTGAGTATGTAAAAACACACAACCTACCTTGACCTGTAAACAAACTTGTTTATTAGTGCCTCCTCAGCGGATTCGACCTATGATTGATCAGGTGTTGCCATGGAGATGCTGATGGGGGTCGAACCCAAGACCGATGCGATTGGTCGAACCCAAGTCACATGAGCGGGGTCACCAAATATGGGTGATACCCTGAAGGATATGTTTGTTTGTAAATTTCTTGTTGTCTTTAGCCCTGCAGTGCATACTGGGACACCCCTATCCCAGAAAACCACGCCAGTGCCAAGCTGAGGGTTCTTCCCCATTGTGAGAAGGGGTGAATGTCCACAGCCAAGCCCGACCAGCCGCCTTTGTCTTAGGTGTAAGAATAATATTCAATGTGCTTTGTCTTATCTTACCTGTGAGACTTTCGTCTGAGTCAAGTTAGGTAAGTTCGACAAGTTCTGAGAGGGAATATCGACATCGGAAAAAATCCGGAAGCCGCACGTCCCACGTTTGTGCGCTGACGAGGCGTCAGGTCTAGAGAGACACTCCGCGGATCGTGAGGGTCACGGCCGTCAGTCGGGCGGTCTCGTTTTTCGGTAAGTGTGCTTCTCTTTATGGCACCAAGTCCATACCTTGAACACTGTACCGGCGTTTTCAACCAAATGTCAACACGCCGGAGCACGAAATGCCGGTAGTTTCACGTGGGACTTGACAATTGAATCGGAATTGGCCCGCCATTTTGTCGGCTCGTACGGCGGACGAAGAAGGTTCGGAGCGAGAGACGACCGCAGGGTAGGGAGAATCTAGGTGTTTATCAGGTCCTTTCCACATGTGATGTCAACAGCTGGACACGTCTTTCTTCGGATCGGTTATTGCTCAACCATTGAAAAACACATCATTTAGAATTTTCTATCGTCCTCAGTGTCTTTACATTACACGATTTCATGAATATTTTGTGAAATTTTATTGCAGACCATCAACGGCTTAATGATTGCTGATCAAAAGTATGTTTCTCCCCAGAGTGAAAGAAGGTGGCTCAGTGACAGATGCTGAATGTGGGGAAAAATCCACATTTCCAATCTTGGCCCTTTTTCACCCCTAAGAGCTGGGCAGCCTCAGAATAGAATAGTAAGACTTGTTGAAGTGAGGGGAACTCAACTGACCTATACCAGATCAGCTGGTTTCCATGGATGCAGTGGTACTGTGATATGATGATCAAATTATGTCTGCAAGTTCAGTTCTCCAAGCACAAATAATATTTATCTGATGTATGATAAAGGACAAGACAAAACCAGTTTACCCCACAACTGCATAGATATTTTTGCATTAACAAAGTTTTAGAACCTCAACTTATGGTAGACCTTTTTTGCGCTTTTTTTATGTTGTGGCTTTCTACACACCACATGCATACGTGGAAATATTACTGGCACCGAGTGTCAGCTGTTTCTTACACTTAGAGTTTGTTTACTCTTGTTCTAAGGCTTTACAACACCCTTGCTGCAAAAAAATGGCTTGCTGGGGAAGTTAGGGTTTGCAAGTTTTTCGATGGGCAACCTTCGCCATTTCAGTGTCAGATAATCTTCAATAGTTAGTTATACTGTAACTGTACATAGCTGTCAGTCACTGAAAGGGTTCACACAGTTGGCTAATTTTCCCGCCTCAACAGCATAACAGTGGTCGTGTGTACAAGAATCTGTCACTAGTATCTACGGTACTCATGTTGGCATTGTTTGGAAGTGACTATCCATTGGTATTGGAACTGCATGAAGCATGATATTTCCGTGCTTCCAGTGACTTCTCAAGGTCAAGTGTATCTTACTAAGTTAGGATTTGACAACAGAAGAGTACCATGGACATGTAAGGAAGGTCACTTGAAGGACATGTTATAATATCCTGATCTTGACAATTCTGACCATCATACAAAGTGTTTGCAAATTTTAGGTCGACAATTTCACAATGCCCTTATTAAGGTTTAAGTTCTGATCTGAGTTTATGTATCCAACTACTGGTGATTGTAACAGTGAAAAGGCTGACCCACAGGACAGAATCAGTTGGAGAGCAGCAATCAGGCCAGGGCAACATTCCATCATGTCTAACCCTCGAGCAACGAGGACCACGAGACGTTAAATGAGTGAGTGAGTGTGTGAGTGAGTGACCTTGATGACATCCATTATTGCGTCAGAATTTATTAAAGGCTGTTATGATTAACACTAAGGATGATGCCATTGTATTACCATATTTACAAGGTCAATTGATGAAGTACCACATTCAGTAGCTCAGAAGTCCACCACGTTAGAAATAGTAGCTGGTTTCCACATTACTGGTAGCTGATTACTTAGCAAAACATGCTTTGAGATATTCTAGAAATGATAGGGTGTGGCTAGAAATATGTCTGTTTGCTTCAAATCAATATTTCTTTTCTTTGAAGTTGGTAGCCTACCTTTGATTTGTATATTGGGGGGAGCAGTCTGGTAACTAGTGCAAACTAACATAGTGTGTATTGTTATAACACAGGTCTCTCTCCACAATGCAGCACATGCAAAACAAACATGTAGTACATGTCATTGTGTATAAATATTATTTCTGATTTGTCTTTTTAGAAGAAAATGGTAAATATAGCTTCTTGGATAGATGGTCTTATTTTGTCAATTTTTAATTATGGTCATTTGATTTGCCTTATACAATTTACTGGCTTTTACAGTAAGAACCTATGGTGCATGAGAATTTTTTTTACTTTTAAAAAGTATATATATCAAAAGTACTGGAAAAGTGCCATTTCTTCACAGATGAACTATATATTTTTTGTGTGTGTATAAAATTTATTATCATTATTCTAAGGAGATGCATGACAGTTTTGTCAAATGAGGGGTTATCATGACACTATATATGATCTACGACTACATTCTGTGTCGTCTGCACAATCTTAGCTGTGGTCAGCTTTATTTCTTCATTAGCATACAGCAGTGATGAATGTGCCCTTGAATGGATGGCTGGTTGGTTGGTTGGTATAATGGTAATACACCGTATACGTAAGCTACAAATTGTTTCAGTACGCGATATTATGAGTAGGGTTGTCACAGACAATCATGTTTCCAGACATTCAGATTTCAGCCAGTTGTAGAAAATTTGGAATTGAGAATACAGATGTAATTAGATGATGCCAACACTTTCGGTTTTGCTGTCTTGTTATCAAAATTCCAATCAGCCCTTAGCCACTGACATAGGGAGGGTCAGATGGTGAAGATTTTGGAAATGGAAGACAGAATTTTAGCTGTAGAAGTTTTTGTGTTTGATGCCACCTCCAAAGTTGAAATCATACCTAAAATAGTAAAGTGTGCGCAGACACGCTATATGATAAACATGGCATCATTATTTCTTATGTGCACTTAACCGTGGGGTATAATTAACCTGAGCATAAATTGTAGCCACCTGCTCATTAGCAACTGATGCAGGCTTTGGTAATTAAAGATTGGTGATTACATTAGCTTTTACTGCTGAACACGGAATTCAATGATGCTAGACTGCTAATGGAAAGCATTCAGGTACAGTCACCTCTCCAGCATCCCCTTACCCATCCTTTACATGAGTAATAGTTCAGATATACATGTATTCTATACAGGTTTTTGAAAGTGTCACAAAATTGTGCTGCAATGTTTTGTAGGACATTTGGAGTTGATCTCATCGCTGACCAATCAGCTTTCTCCATCTGCCCACCAATCGCCAACAAGCTTTCTGTTGTCCCATGTGGGGTTTCCCAGTTTGTAGCCAAGGGCTTTGTTGTGGTAATAAGATCCGTCAAGTGGGCGGAGCTTCATGTGACCAGGAACTTCAGTCATGGTTGCCTAGCAACAAGGTCCGTGGAGACTACCTTACAAGTTGCCCCACTTGTACCCCTTTGTGGCCTTTCATCTGTTACCTGATGGATTTCATCCTGGGATATTTGTTTACTTCCCCAGCACTTCAAACTCATGTAGTCGTAAATAGTGGTGGTACATCTGAAGGATATACTGTGAAATCTGTTACAGCAACTTATTAGATTTATACACAAAAAAGTTTCATCACTACCGGTATGTTTGCAGTTGAAAATTTTTCAATTTTACTTTATACTGAAACATTGACAGCAGAAGTTTTGTCCCAAATTATCTGAGACGATCCTCAATATTGTTTTTTGTTCCTTAATTTTTCGATGTCAATTATCATCTACAGGAGGAAGCCTCAGTCCAGGGTCAATTAGAGAAATGGGAAGTATTTGGTCAGCTCAATATTTAGTTTGGTGTTTTATCAGTTCAATAAGAAAAGCCATTTTGTTCCCTAGGCTACAGGCAAATTGACAGAATCATCAGTGCTGTCAGGTGAACCAGGATAACAATGGATGCTTCTCCAAAGCCAACAGACAGGTAAGAAAATAGACTGTAGCATATGCTTAAGTTTTTAAACATGGTATTCAAAGTTGAAAATGTATGGGGGTGGGGGGCACATTTCACTGATTTATAGAATACTCCTGATCACCTGTTAATTATACTGAATTATTCTGGGTCCCTTTTAGTGAAGCAGTAGATGCAGAGGTTCCAGACAAGGCTGAAATGCAGGTAGAGCCTGAGAAGGCAGCAGAACCACCATCGCCATCTAAGAGGTAGGCATCATCATGCCAGTGAACTCTCTTTAAATAGTTCTTAAAGTGATATGAGAAAACTTTGTGCTCTGACATTTGTATGATTTAGTGTTCTTGTATGTTGTGATTCAATGCAAGTTGTTTTCCAAAAAAGGGAACAAACAAAAACATGTATATCTTTCACATTTTTATCCACCAGACCGTACGAAAAGGATGGATCAGACCAAGAGGAGGAGACAGCAGATGCTCAGGCAGCAAAGAAGCCAAAATTGGACACAGATGCAGACACAGAAGTAGACACCAAGGCTACATCTCCAGAACAGTCTGCTGAGGCAGACGCTGAACCGAAGGAGAGTGCAGACATCGAAACAGGCAGCAAGGCTGCGGAGGAAGGAACTGCTGAATCTGACAGCAAGGCTAGACCTTCTGAAAATAACACAGAAGATGAAGCCAGTCAGGACAGTATGCAGTCCATGTCCAGTAAAAGTTCTAAACAGAACCCAGACTCCACCACCAACGAGCAGGACATGGAGGTGTTGGACTTCTCCAGGTCAGCTCGAGACGCCAGTGAGAGTGAAAGTGACAGTGAGAGGAGATCAGGAACAAATGCTATTAAGAAGGAACGAGTTGACAACATGGATACATCAGAGGCTGTAAATGGGTAAGCTTGCATTCACCAGTTTAAGATACTAGTATTGGTTATAATGAACCCAAATATTTTCTCTTCAACTTTGGTTTATTGAATTGGCTGTATATACTGTTTAGATAGTCTAGATGCCAGTTAAACAATTCTTGTAAAAAAAATTAGGTTAAATTTCAATTTATTCAATTCAACAAAATCGTACAAAAGCAGGGATTGACTAAGGCACCCCTGAATTGTGCTTTGATTTTTACAAATGGTTGATTAAAAGTCAAGACAATATGAGCAGAACACACTGTATACAGATTATCACATTAATTATCTTGTCATACCCGGTAGTCCTGAATGGTGTGTGGTAGAGGCCAATTGAAAGTGCTGACTGTCTTCTGCTTTGTTTCTAGTGATGCCAGCAGAACAGAGCCCAGCAGCCGAGCGTCTTCTCCGGACTGCATCATCCTGTCAGATGACTCAGGTTCCAAGAGTCCCGTCACCAACGGACATGACGAGGACGCAGCCAGCAAGTCCGCCGGCAAGGGGGAGAAGAAGAACGGGCTGATGTCACCTGAGGATCACGACAAGGTCATTAAGAAACTGAAGGAGGAGCTGAAAAGTGAGGAAGCGAAGCTAATTCTCTTGAAAAAGATTCGACAGAGCCAGGTTCAAGTACAGAGAGAAAACACTGCCCCAGGTGGTAAAGTGCCAATCCCTCGGCAGCCCACAGCGAGCGGCCCGCCTCCGCTGGTCCGTGGGGGGCAGCAGCCCAACCAGAGGGGCCAGGTCGGCATGCCACAGCTCATGCGAGGACCCATGGTACAGCAGGCTCGACAGCAAGGTCCGCCACCGCTTATCATGGCACCGCGCGTGACAACGCCAAGCGGGATGAACGCCAACAACATGGTGGGGATGCGCGGCACCAACATCAACATCATCCCCCTGCAGATGATCCGCCCTGTCAATCAGGCAAATTCTGTCACCGTGACGACGTCCAACCTTTCTGGGTCGTACCAGCCCATTCAGGTACACCAGGTGGCGTCGCAGCACCCAGGGACCCCGCCCAGCCAACAGCAGCAGGCCAACGACCCTCAGACTGCGGCCAGCAGACAGGCAGCCGCCAAGCTCGCACTCCGCAAGCAGCTGGAGAAGACTCTACTGCAGATCCCTCCCCCCAAGCCTCCACCACCAGAACTCACATTCCTGCCCAGTGCTGCTAACAATGAGTTTATATGCCTGATCGGGCTGGAGGCAGTGGTGAACAATATTCTAGACATGCAGGACCCAAGCAGGAATGCAGCCCGGGCTCAGCCAGAGCCTCTGTCCTGCAAGCAGTGTAAAACAGACTTCTCTGCCATGTGGAAACAAGAGAAACCAGGAAGCCCCACGGTCATCTGTGAGCAGTGTGTAACAACCAACCAAAAGAAGGCACTAAAGGCAGAACATACCAACAGACTGAAAACAGCATTTGTTAAGGTAAGATACTTATAATGTACAAGTTCCAGGGAAGTAGTACATCAATGATTTTTTTTTAAATTGTAAAGATACTTTGAAAGCGTAACTGTGTGCAGCTTTTTGTTGATTTGTTTGCAAGCTTGGATGGGATCTGGTTTTGGCTGTGTTGTTGGCTGGGATTTGGATATCCATCACTTTTACAAAGAATTCTTTTTTTCACAGCTTATTGATTGTCTTAATGGTTATCAATAGCAAAGAGTTATTACCTCAATAATAATTTCAATGCTTGAGTGATTCAATACCAGAAAGTATCTCAGACTTCAGAGTGATAACTGGTAATAGAGGTAAACAAAAGCAACAGCAGATTTTTCTGTGAAGGTTCTGGGTTGTGAAGAAATCTATGTTGCTGCTGTTGTTCCCTGCCCAGGTTAGTTCAGTGATGGATCTCCAAACCAGTGCTGATCACTACCTGGTTTGTTGTCTTACTTCCTACTGTGTTTGAGTGGAAGTTTAGATTTCCCAGCACACCTTTTGTTTGCCCCTTAAGTATTCTACTGTTTGGGGATACACCTCAATATAAATGAAACTTGAAGCATGAAAATTCTAAAATCAGATAATTTCTGATTTAGAGAAAGCTAAAGATGAGATTCAGTGCATAGCTTTGGCTTTCAGTAGAGAATCAAAGTAGCTGTAGCACATATCTGCACTATTAGGAATTATTTACAAATGCATCAACTATAAATGCAACAAAATTCTGGGGACTGATTTGGTAATTTGTATCAACTGTCCACTGTCTCTTGGAAAAAAGGCGAGATTGGCAATGCTAATATAGGTTGAATGAAATGTTAATTCGAAACTAAATTCTATTCACATCAAGTGCAACCAGGCAACATTTGTTCTTGTAAAATGTCACCTCGTGTATGTGGGTACGATTAAGACATGTGAAGCAGTGTTTGTATAATTCTCACATACACTGGTTCCTGTTCAGTTTTTTTTTTATATTTTTTTATCAAAGATATGCAGTGGTTGCTTATGTAGTGATAGAGTCTAGACTCTTGTTTTGCTTCTCCTATCATTGTGCTTTCCTCTTTACTCAACAGCATATCAAGATCAGAAAGGCTTATCTAACAATCAATTATATTTAATCATAAGCCTTCGTGAGATAAATATGGGAACAATTGTTACAGTGTGATGTGTTTGTTCGCTGTTGACCTTGAAAACTCGTAACATGATTCCCTTTGATTTAACACAGTTGGTTCATACGAATGAAGAACAACTGCAGTAATTCACCTTCCCTAAACCTTCTCCTTGCTGCCTAGCCCCTTAACCAATACAAGTTTGGTACCAGCTTGCTCAGCGGGGAGAATGTTAACCAAACATGACTGTTGACAGTACCGTGTCCCTCCTCTACTTGTGCAGGCCCTGCAGCAGGAGCAGGAGATCGAGCAGCGCATGAACCAGACTCTGCCCACCTCCTCCTCCACTCCCTCATCCTCCTCCCCTGCCAACCTGACCACCACCCACCAGCACCAGCTGCAGCAGCTGCGCACCCACCAGCAGGTGAGGAGTCGGGGGCGGGGCAGGGGACGGGGCAGGGGCAGGGCTGGGGTAAGTTCCAATCTTCTCACCTCCAAGGTCAGCCAACTGCGATGGAGCAGCATGTACTGCAGGCTTCTGTGTGTGGCATTATGGGCAGGATGCTTTGTTTCATAAGATTTGTGTTGTATGCAGTCACTGCACCCAAAACAAAGTAACAAATGTCAACACATGGGAATGATCCAGTAGCCCTTGATTGAGTATAAAATAGCTTTTTCAAAACAGTGTTAAAAGAATAACTGTGGTGAGACAAACAGTATTTTCCTAGCCTGAGTGCCATTCTGCTTAGTTAACTGGAGCAAGAATGGGAGCTCCGGTAAACCAAATGGCACCCAGGCTATTGTATGTATGGAAAAAAGTGTTCCCAAGAACAGTAACAAACTCCCTGTAAATTCTTCCATTCTCAAAGATGTTTTCACAGTTGGCTATTCATGAACTATTGATGTTTTACTGAAAAAAAATCATTGGTCCAAGTTGACTGAGGCTACCAGTATAGATTTCTGTGAAATGCACACAAGGCAGGAAATATTTGCTGTACATCTTTAGTTGGTTCGTCTTGGGGAAATAATGACATTAGTAAATTGGCAAAAAGTATATTTCTTGGTACTTTTAAATGTTAGCAGTTAATGCATCCTGCACCTCTGTGATACCAAAGGGTGTTTTCAGGTAAATACAGGTATCAACTGTTTGATGTTTTAAATTCTGGTATGCACCTCACCATGTGTACGTGTATGTGTTTCCAAATTTTGAAAGAATAACACTTATTTGTGTCCCACCAGTTTTACAAAGTATAGTGGGACTTGTGTCATCAGCCCTGCGTATCCGTGGACCAGTTCTTGTGAACATTTCTGTTTCCTGTGGACCTCAGGCAAACTCGTGTCTCTGCTTTGTACTTTATATTAAAGCATCTTCCCATACCACATATATGTATCTATGCAATGTAAAGGGCACTAACGTAAAATATTAGCAGTGGTGCACAAACAACTTGTTTTCTTTTCAAAAGGTAAGGTCATAAATTTCTGTGCCCTTGCAATATTAAACTAACCATTTCAACCCTTACAAAGTATAGCAACATTTCAGCCCTTATAGAGCATAGCTACCCACTTCTTAACACTTCATTCCATGGGTAGAATGATACTTTCAGGTAAAGTGTTGCAGCCTTGCAACAAGGAATTATTCTATTGAAAGAATTGATGTAATAACTCTAGGGATTGTGTATTTTGTCATAGCTATGAAGTATCTGCTAATGCAAAGTAAAGGCAACAGAAATAAAGACCTGCTCTCTCCCTCCATTGCTTTAGGCTACCCTAACAAAAAGACACCACAGGGTAGCCCCTCTTCCCATTTTTTTGTCCCAACTGTTCAACATCCCCCTACCTGTAGTCTCAAACAGCCAATCCTTCAAGTTACAAACATAAGTAGATCCTATAGTGAAAAGTATCCTCTCTCTTTTCTCCCAGCTTCTCCAAGCCCATAGTCGCCAGTTCCACAGCCAGTCTCGCAGCAGCAACTCACACGTCTTCAGCCACTTTGGCCAGGCCTCCAACATGCAGCCGGGCATGTTTCCCTACCAGGTCGTGCAGAACAAGCCGTCCTCCGCCGCCGACCGCCACCGCGAGTACCTTCTAGACATGATCCCCTCCAGGTCTCTTCCACAGACAACAATATCATGGAAGCAATAGTCCTGCAGCTGCTAGATGTGAACCAGGGGTGGGGCTGGGTGGTCGTGACATGTACGCACAGATGGTCTAGTGTTTGCAATTTGGTCAAAGCCTTAGCCTGAAATGTAGCCTTGTTTAGCTCATGTCTACTCCAACAGTTACTACCCAACAGCAGACATAAGCTGGAGAAGGAGAGATCTCAGGCTAACAAACCTAGCAGTCAACTTTGATTATGATTATGCCAGTATGAGGCCTCCTGGCCTTAAAGAATGGGCAGAAGTAAATACTCACTAACTACAAAGATTATTGAAGTGTGGAACAGTCTTGGAAAAGTTCTGGATTGTGACATTCTTTTGTAATGGTTGGAGATACATGCATTCGTAAATATATATGTATACATATATATATATATATATATAAGCCCTGTGAATGTTGTTACTGACAGATATCTCTGACAAAAATCTTCCAGGTCCCTTGATGTGAAGAGTATATTCTGTGTTATTAAGCAACATCAGTGCACATGACAGGTGTGAACCAAGTGCTATACTGTGGTGCCATTCATGGATGTGAAATAGTGGGATGTGAAAAACAAAATGGCCAGCCATAACATAAACCACACAATTACATGGTACATTATTACATGAAAACTTTTCAAATTGATATAATGCACATACATCATGACAATGGCAAAAATAAAGGCATTACATTGCACAACAGAAAGGACCAACAACAAATTTCACAAAACTGTACGCACTGTGTGAATGTCAGGTACACTTGAACCTCATATACACCATACCTCAAGCTGTGGTCTTACTATAATACCAAGAATGTATCTACAACTGACAGTTACCACGGTGTCTTGGCTCAGTCAGTACAGCTGAAATATATACACCACCACTAACTTTGCTACCCTAACATTACCATGAAGTAGGTGCAAGTTATGCAATGACTGTCTCAATTTTGACCCCATGCTTGAGGTAAATTGGCATATTCATATACCGTAATGATTAGGAAATCACAGCAAAATCAGTGCATTTCCATGTCGCTATACATATCACACAAAGGCTTGCCTACAGCATGAATATAGTCAGTGCCATAAGTAGCATGGAATCACAAGTTTCTTCTGATACCATATGTCCAAACCACAGTACAAGGGACCCCTCTTAAGAAGTGGTGTATACATGTGTGCCCTCTCCCAGTTGGTTCATTGCTTGTACATGAGAAAAATTGTATTTGGTTTCTAAGAAAAACAAAACATGGTGTAAGTTATACTTGAGGAAAGCTAGCATTGGTTTATCAGCTAACACTGATCACTTGAATTTGGTAAGAGATTTGGAGTCTCCAAGAAATGGTGATGAGAAATATTTTCTTCACCACTTGCATTATGACAGGAGTAAGGCACCTTGATACAGAAGGAAGCATACTTTTTATAGCACATCTTAACATGAAACTTAACTTAACATCAATCAACCAATCAGTTTAGATGTAGGTCTTCCAAAGTGCAACTCTAGGAATACCACATAGGTATGGAAGTCCAACAGAAAGTGATCAGTGTTAGCTAGCTGCCAGTCTCATGCCACAATTTCTGGCTAATGATGTCCCGGGGGATTGACTAATGCTGCCAAAAAGAGCAGTAGATCAGATATCGCGATCTTTTCATTATTTGATACCAAAATTTCAGTGGATTTTCATATTGTTAAATCCAACATGTCACCATAATATCTCAAGACTGATACCTCATAGAGACTGCTTCATAACTACTACCACAATGTTCTATCATCCTTTGCTTCTTGTTCATTGACCTGGTACCATGTAGACATTGAGCAGTGCAGTATTGTATAACATAGTGTACTTATATAGGGGCAATGCTGGCACTACATGCAGTTCCTCTCATTGTGCCATTGAAGCTGATAGCTTTGAATAATTACCTGCAGAGCATGTACATAAAATGTGTTAAGAACTGCAGTTCAATTGTGAAGTGCAAGGAGGCGTCCATGTCCTTCCAGTATTCGATCTGTCACTACTGAAAAGACAATATTTTTATTTGTCCTCTATTTCATAACTTGTCATGTATGTACCCTTTATTTATGGTGAACTTAGTGATAAACATGCAAGAACGAACCAATGCCTTTTGTTTTGACACCATGTCAGTTACCATCTGTGCAAAAACTTCTGGTAATACAATGTGAATATTTATTGTCATGGTTTAGTTAATATGTTCAATTCCACTGATGATGTAAACTGAGAGTACAGTATGGAGAACCCGTGATGGGGAGACATCACAATGTGCTAATGATATTTTCAAAAATTGATGTTGACATGTAGCAAAAAATAAAAAGCCTGTGAACAGGAGTGTGGACATTTAGTACAGTCTTTATTCTGTAATATGTACTATTATGTAATATCTTCTTTACATCATAAAGGAATAACATCCTTCACGCATGATACTTCAAAACAAAGGAGGTGTTTTTTTTTATGTAAAGACACACAGATTTATACACTTAGTGGGTAACATAAGGTATGTAAATGCTACCACTCCGGTTTGGCAGACTCATTGCAATACCACACCAACATTTGTAGCTTTTAAAATACGTCCTAATGAATTATCTAAGGCGAAGATTAATATTAAGTTGTCTAATGCGGAGTAATAAACTCGTAGACAATATATAAAGCCTCTAAGGGAGTGTTGAACTCGCAATACATTAAGTCTCATGCGAAATGTTTCTCGTATACAGTACATGTACATAAAGTTTTACGTAGTGTTAACCTCTCACACAACAGATCATACAATGTGCGGGCACGGTACGTATCAACCTCCTAAGAAATTGAAGAAGTACAGCGGGAGAACCACAGCCATGACGAACAGCCCGAGAAGTATCAAAATGCCCAGCACGCACAGAAAGGCTCTCAGAACGTATCGTCTTTTCTTCTTCTCCAGAGTTTTCCAGATGAGAGTGTCGTACCCGTGCATGATGGCGTCAGTTGTATCGTACAGACGACTGGACGCTTTCTGAAAAGGTGAGGTATGATAATATAAGTGCGTCTGAGATATGGTGATAACTAATTGGACTGACCAGAAGCAAGGAGGTTAGATACAATGTACCTTGCCATAAATGATATGGTGAACATGCGCTTTTATTAGTCTGACGGTCACCACGTAACGCTTTTATCTAGCTGGAAATACTGTATACTAGTATAGCGAAGCCCCTGTCACATATTTACGAATTTGGTCTCCCGAACGCCCGCCAACCATGGTTAGTTGGCTGGCGAATTCGGCTTTCAAAATGTTTCAAACATTCGGGAGGCTAGGTGTGATCACAGTTGGCTGGTTTTCGACCGTAAGTCAGCAAAGCCCCAGCCAACCATCCGGGAGTAAGTCAACAGCGTTCGGGGCGTGTTGAGGGATCAAATTTGACTGCAATTTAACTCAAATTCGTTTTGAGTCATATACAGAAAGTAGGCGTGGCCTAAATCTGGTCAGAGGGCTGGCGTTCGGGAATGCATTCGTGGGAAGTTCGTGAATTTGACAGGGCCTTTATCAGAATACTATCGCATCGAGTACTTTATCAGAGTGCCCTGGTATCATTGACATGATTTACATGTTAAGCTCTTTCTCAACAAGTTTCCGGTCGATATCGAGCATGTAAACCTTTTGAAGCCCCCGTTTTGGGTCACTAGTTTATGTAGATGAAAGCTGTATCCGGAACGTTCTGTTCTACTAGAAAATGTTTAGAGTAACATGTTGACAAACTTTTCAAGAATATAAAAGTTTCCCTTTTCACTATAGCTAAAGAATGCTTATATTCTGAGATACATGTATTTATAAAGGATTTCGAAGCTGCTGACCTTTTCCTTGTTGTCATTTTTGTCCTGTGTGCGTGCATTGTTGGACTTCTGTAAGGAGGCGCTCTTGACAAGTTGCGGCAGAGGTGCCCATTTAACACATCCGTTAGCTTTCTGTTTTCCGGCAGGGCCGTTTGCTAAGATTCCATTTTTCCTGGGTCCGTTTTCAGATTTCCGAAGTGCGGCATCCAGCTGTACAAAAGCCGGCTTTTCTGAACCGTTTGGTACGATGACGTCCCCATTGGTCCCTATGTGATGTGACTCAGGGGAGTGGAACTCCGGCGCAGCCTCCTTTGTATGCAGTGACCTCAGGTGATGCACGTCCAGGTAGTTGTAGGTTCCGTAGTGCGTCCTGGCGGCGTTTGAATTGGCATTTTCTGAGTACAGTGGGTTGAACTTGATCCCGGCTTTGACCTGTTCGGGGGAGATGTGGTCCCCGAACACCGCCTGGATCACCACATCGCTCACCTCGTCCTCCTGTTGGGGCTGCGGATAAACAACAGTACTAGTGTTTTGACATGTAAATCGTCACATAACAAAACATGCCGGACACATACATACATATTTGTCCATAAAGGACTTGCCGCTTTGTATGCAATGAAAACTAGAAACGTTCTGTAACTGAGTGTCACCTAGGTGGCTACTATCTGTCATGTCTTGCATCCAAGAAATCGAATAATCTGCATGGTTAAGAGGCCATGGCAGGCATTTTAAAGCTCCTAGATTGCCGAAATGTGTATAGCTGGAAGGATTATTTACATGCACCGTTAGGTCACAATCAGAGACACAATTTATGATTGCCATGGTATAGCTCCAGTCATCGACAAAGGACATTTTCTACTACTAAGTTAGCCGCGGTAATGCCCGAAGAGGAGGGTCAGCAAAAACCAAATGCAAATTTGGATGCAAGTCGAGTACTGTAGAAATATTAATGTTAACATTATTACGACCCGAACCTGTGAGAAGCGACCGTCACTAGGGACAGCTTCTGCACGGAGCACTGGCATCGGTGGAAACCGCGCCTGAGTTGTGAATATCAGTCCACTGGCCCGATCAGCAAGAGTACAGAACCTATGGGTGTACATCCGATATACACGTGTGACTACACCAGCAAAGCTAGAAACCACAGTTCACTTCAATGTCAAGGTTACTTTCCAAATGTCCACAGAGACCACAGTCTGCACGAAACGTCACAAAGATTTGTCATATTTTTTTTCAAATTTGACGATATAAGTTTGAACTATGAAGACATGTTACACCAGGTCAGACAATCTCAAGAGACAAACATGATAACACTAGTTCTGATAATAGCTGATTCGTTTTACGACACCGATCAAACCGGTAACACTGTACTTTTACTCAGTCTTTAAGTCTTACCAATTTAGTCCTGCGTTAACGGTAATCTGTTGTGACGCCCGGTACGACTGACCTATAGCTAAGTGGTGGTAACAGGTGGCTGAACAGGTTGGAGAAAGATGGCGAACTTCGGTTAGCCAAGCTGGCACAGCAAGTGGACCTTCCAAACGAAGCGACAGCGCAGGAAACAACATATCCTAGTAACGCTATAGCTATGGCGCTACTGCTAACCAGCAACCAAATCCACTTGAAAATTGATATCAGACAAAGAGGGCATTATGACATACGTGACCAATGCGCCCCCATCTATTGAACTCGACTTCAGCCTGTGAAAGGTAGTTGCGACAACCCATTTACGAGTACATGTATGTAGGTACATGTATAACCTCAAACCGACAGAATACCTATTAATTATAAATACATTCTGACGCTAGATGTGAGCACTTTTTGCTTTTTTTCGGCGATATCATCCCAACACCCCAATTGTTTGTACGCTTTCGTCGATGCATGGTCCCCCACTAAAGGGGAGTGCACTGATTGGATTAAAGAAAACAAGTACCGTATCGGCTAGTACATAAGCACTCTTGACCTTAATCGTATCAAATATTTACGCTGACCTTTAAATACTTCAATCAATCAACAAATTTCCTTCATCGTGATAATTGGGCGTTTCCTTTTCATTTGCACAATTAAAAGAAAGTGTCTCTGTGCCTATGTCACTCGACCCACCTGCCTCTTTTGTTGTCAAAAAAAGTAGTACGTTTTCATCATGCGTACTCTATAATGTCTCTCATACCGGGTCACCAATAACGTTTTACGGGGAAAAGACTTCTTTCATGACTCTCGGATGACTGTAAACAGTCGACCTAACTTATAAAATGGTCGACAAAAAGGATTTTGCCTCACCTTCATGTTAATTTGGGCATGGTTTTATGACAATATGTGTAATCACCAGAAAAACATTCCATTTTTACAAAAACATTATCACAACCTGTACACACACAGCAGGTAAACAAGCTTGACTGCATTTAAAAGCTTTGTCGAATCGATTCCCTCTCAGTGGGTCCATTTTAACATACCATGATGCCCTCCGCTATATCGAACGACCTCGCTGAGCCTTGTTTTCCTACTTACCCGATTGTTGTTGTCGGTACAGATGACTGCCTTTTGTTGGTCGTTCTTTACTCTTGTTGTCTCCTTTTCTCCGATGCCAACAGTCCCCAATTTCTCCTGCCGATTATCGTCCGAAGCTGCCATTGTTTTCGGGCTGGCGACATTTTCGTCCGCCTCCATGTCCGGGTACAGGACGTACTCTAGTATGGTGCGGGCGGCCTTCTTACTCATGTTACCGCCCAGATCAAGTGGATCCTTAACACAAACTCCTGCACGCCAAGTGTGCTCAAATATATTCCACAGGACTCTCTGTCAACACCCAGAAATGTGGCCTAAATAAGCTGGTGTGTTTATGAGAGGCGCATCATGAAGTTTTAGATCTCTCTGTGCCCTGGCCTCCGTACATGTACAGTACATAAAATAGCACGGCCGGTTATCGAAACGACGACAAATCCCATATGTTCCCCCAACAGCTGTGAACATCCACGTTACACGGGCTCTGCCAATAAACACAAAGCCCTAACACAATAAATGCATAGGAGAAAGCTTTATACCTAACCGTAGGAGTTACTGAAACCCTTTCCACGCAGTTCTCTTTGATCAGTACTTCAGCGATCCTCAGATCCCATATGATCCGTTGATGGTGGTTGCCTTGACAATTTATCTTCACACACCTGTTGCCTTGATTCGGACGTAAGTGCAATCCATGGTAAGCCCAACAGGGGAATGGTGTCAGTTGTACATGTTCTGAAGTTGACCATAAAGCTGATGACCTTACGTTGAACGCTTCAACAGAGTATATGAAGATCTGTCAGTCCCCCAAAGCAAAATCGTACCTTGTGACGTTCTTCGGGCCTTCAGAACTGCCGACCGTTCATCGACCTTGTCGCTGGGCGCGCTTTTATATGTAAATTACACACACTTCAGTTTGACCACTAGTGCTCTTCAGTGCTTAGGATTGCATGCAAACAAGGCTTCTAAGCTTCAAAACAATCCTCCGCGCACGTTACAAGTGTTCCTATGTGGTTCACTGTTTGGAGGAAATGTAATTTTGGGAGCCCCCAAAAAAACTGAAGCGCAAGTCGATAGTTCTCAGGCCACCGGTACTACCCATTCGTTTCTGAATTATCATCATCATGCGATAGGATGAAAATGGAATTATAATACAAACCAAAAAATGAAATATAAGTCCAGTCACTACATGTAATGGAAATATGCCATGACTCACCAATCTTAATTTTTCTCAAAGCTGTTAAAACTTTTCAGTAATTTCAAGCACAGAAAAAAACCCGATACGCATACATGTTCTTTCCATGTAAGGAAAATTAAAGAAATATACAAAAACTTTGGACAAATTGAAAGTTAGTTTATAAGTTGAAAAGTATACTAGCTATGAAGACTTCAGCCATTCACATTTTTTTCAGGTTCGCTATCCGAAATAGCCACCACTAGTCCTTCCTTAGTACGGAATACGGATCGTAGCATTTGGCAAAAAAGGAGAGTAGGTGGCCAGGCGAAAAGTGGCCGCGCCGATCCACGGAAGTTTGATTGGTCAGTCAAACCACAAAGGCGGCCAAACTCCCCTAGCTGGTAAGACTTTATATGAAATGTTTTTACCTCACTGGTGCAATGTTACACTCATAAGATGACATTTACATATCTGCGATGACATAATCAACCTGTAACCCCTCTGACGTCTTTCCATTGGTATGGTCGTGTACCCAGAATGCAGTGCGTATCGCCATATTGAGAAAGACTTAGCTGAGCAGCCATCGGGAAAGCCAGTTTTGCTGACGAGTTTTCAACAGGACTGGGGATATCTTCCGGTAAGTTTCTCCCAGTAACGCAAATCTGTAGTACACTTGATCTATAGGTGGTGTGATTTGTTGTACATTCGCCACCGACATGGGAGAAAACGGTGTCCAAAGTTAGAGGTCAGCCGTGACGACGACTTGTGATGATGATGTAAATCGGGTTGCACAAAACACCTTGGCGAAAAAAAATATCTGAGCGACAGCGTCTACTGATTTACCCCGTAATCTTCAAGACTTGTCTTCAAATTTGGAATTATGTTTACGCGGTAGATGTAGGGTGTTTTGATGTTGCTTGTCGGATGTCGTCGTTTGATTGGAATGAAATGACCATAATTTGTTAACGTTTTTGACAACAAAAGACATCCAGCACAACAAACCCCAGGTCGATTGGCAAGCGTTGTGACAGGATCGGATTTCATTCTGAACTGCAAAGGTTTCTATAAAAATATAACACACTGTGTTACAGAATAAGCAGGTCTGGACATGACTGATACTAGTGATAGCAGTACACAGTGATAAAGCGACACAATCTGTGCAATAAATTATGGATTATGCCTACTACTACATGTAGTACTACTAGGTTTGTAGCTTTTAGGGGATATCCCTTCGTCACAAAGAGGAAGTTCGTCCTTTACGATTGAAATTCCCCTTCCTGACGAAGGGGCACCCCCTATGAAAAACAAACATTTAATATTAATGATAGTACATGTAGTTAAATGGTTTTGGTTGCTTAGCTTATTATTAATGGTGTGGTCTTTGTAAGGTGAGTGTGGAATAAAAATAAACAAAAAACATGATAGTCCCTGACAGTTCCAAATTCAATTTCAGAGTTGTGATTGCCAATGGCTGAGGGTTATGTGGGTAGTGTGATATCTGTTGACTGTGGCAGCACCCTTGGGGTCTACCAGGGTCGCGTCATCAGAGTCAACAAGGAGGAGCAGACCATCTCTTTGAGGGACTCGTTCCGCAATGGCCTGAAATGCCAGGTGCCAGAGATCACTCTCAGGTGAGTGAATCTTGTAGATTCAGTTCAATCACATCAACTTGATCAAGGAACATGTTTATGTTTCTAACACTACATTTTTTCATACCTGTTGGTCAAAGGCATACATTGTATAACCTTTACCTTGGCTGTCAAGCTAATTCTGTTGTTCTTTATACATGTTCTAGTAGTCAGTTGTTTTTATTCCAGCCAATTGGTTCTGATTGGTTGATAATCATCAAATTGTCATTATATTAATATAGATAATGACTGTATCTCTGGCACACTTTAATTTAAATAACTTGTTGTTTTACTGTTGTTGGTGTTTATGTCTATCTGTACAGGGCACGCCTGTAAAGCAGTATATTGTACTGAGTGCGTCTACCCTGTATAAAGAAGACAGAAATAAATAAATAAATAAATAACTTCTTTTCTCACCTGCAGTGCAATAGATATCAAGGATCTAAAGATCCTGAAGTCACCTGAAAATGGGAAGGTAGTCGAAATCCAGAAACCCAAGGTTAGTCTGGTAGCAGCTACCCCGAAAAAGAAAAAGGAGCAAACATCAGGAGATTTCAAGAAGTCCGAACAAATTGGTGATGCCAGGAAAACCCCCAATGGAGAGTACCCCAGGAAACAGAGCTATCCTGGGAAGGGCCAAAATGGCGAGATTGCAGCTAAGAGGGGCCAAAATGGACATGTTGGAAAACCAACCAATGAGGATTCCAAGAAGAATGGGAATGATTCCAAGAAGAATAGCAGTGAATCCAGGAAATTCCTGGAGCAGATGGGGGATGTTAGAATCAGCCAAGTGTCTCCAAGAGACTTTGGAAATAGGGACCAAAATGGGGAGGTGATGAACGGAGGTAGCCGAGAGGGTACCCCCACCAAGATGGGAAGGAAACGGCACAACTCTTGTGAGTTTCATGAATTTCCTCAGTTTTGATGTTGTTTTGATGTTTGAGTATTGTCTTGAGTCATATTTGTATGTCACTATAGAAAACCAATATGCTGAGGAGCCATTGTTTTTCTTTTCCAGTCTCTGGTTTCGGGCGCAGATCTCAGAACACGACTCCAAAGAAGTTTGAAAACGGACGCCCAAGATCCAAGACCAAAGTCGAGAACAACAACACGTTCTCCCCAATCTCCCCAACTGTTATGAATGAAGAGTTTGACTTTGAGAAGAACCTGGCACTCTTTGACAAGGCAGCTATATTTGAGGAGTTGGACATGTTGAATGGGCAGGTCTCAGAGACTAAGAAGCCCCAGAACTACAGACATGATGAGAACATCTTGGGTGACCAGGAGGCAGTAGTGTACAGGCAGATCCTTGTACCACAGCAAAGCAGTGTAGAATTTAACACAGGTACGTATAGCAACATTGCCTTGTTAGCACAGTACTCATCATTGTAGATGGGATCACAGCAGGAAAATGGTTTAGGTTTAATGGTTTCATCAACAAGTTGTTTGAGCATTCCCTCTTTAGCAGCTTCAGCTTGCAATGAATCTGGATGTTTGTTGTTCTTTAGACTGTGGCCTTGTGGTCCCCAGTATCTCCTTAGAGCTGAGAAGGAGGTTATATGGAGCAGCAGAGAAGTGTGGTCTGTCAGAGGAGAAGCAGCTCGAGGTGATTGGTATGTGCAGCAGTCAGATGGCATTACAACTACTAGGGGGAAGCAGCAGGTATGTTGGAACACTTCTTGCAAATTTGCTATCTTTTGTGAGGTATTTAACATAAACTACACTGAGTAAAACAGTCAGAGTATCAAAGAATCAAGTTTCAAACATGTGTTTAAATCTTCTGATCATCTGATATGTTAAGTTGAAGATGACACACACTTGTGACACATGAAACCTGCAAGCCTTACTTACAATTATCTTTTGTCCTTTAAAAGATTAATTGTGTGCTGAAGTTCTGACTTCAGGTGACCTATGAACATAAGCATCATCTTACCATATTTATATCCAGGGCCCCGCTGCAAAGCAGTGCATAGCCACTAAGAGGGTCACCCTGGATAAAGAAACAGAATTAAAAAAAATTATGGATACCGACTACCATGAAATGAATTCCCTGTGTTCCTCCTAGGCTGAACCCACGGAACACCCACCAGATGCCCTCGGTGGTGGTCCTGTGTGGCCCCCACAGACAGGGTGCACAGGGCATCAGCTGTGCACGACACCTGGCTAACAAGGGAGTCAACGTTACTGTGTTCATGCCAAACTTCATGAAGATGTTGGACTGTCTGACGCTGGAGCTGCAGATGTTTAACATGACAGAAGGAATTCACACCCCAAGTGAGTATGGTCAGAAATTGATGTGGTATGACAAACTTACGAGATAATTGTGTGTAGGTAGCTTAGGAAGTGAAAGAAGAGTCTTAGCTGCCCAGTTTATAACTCCTGATAAGTCTGTAGGTTCTGTGCATGACATTTCCCCCATGTTGCCCCTGCAGTGCACACAGGTCTTCCCACAGAGCATGTGGACCTGATCATCAACACGTTGGACGGACAGGAGAGTGCGTTTCTCAGGGACCAGGCCTGGTACCGCAGTGTGGTGCAGTGGGTCGGACAGAACAAGGCTCCAGTGCTCGCCGTCGACCCTCCCTGTAACCCACCACACTACCCCATTCAGCCCAAGTGGTCGCTGTCCCCCACGCTGCCCCTTCCGTTGCCGGAGGCGGCTGGCACGCTCTACCTCTGTGACATGGGGATTCCAAGTAAGGTTTATGCTGAGGTGGGGATCAAGTACAAGTCTCCGTTTGGCCACAAATGTGTCATTGCCTTGCACCACATTAATGCTTCTTAATGTGTACTATACAATGTATGTGCCCATTTAGATTAAGATACAAGACAGACAGACTAGATTCAATGTGACATTAAAAGGCTATGTATTTTGAAGCCTTCTTGTTACAATGTTACAAATGTAGGTGGTACACAGTTGAATTTGTCACTGTTACCAGCATACAGAAAGTAGTGTCAGTTAATTTGTATTTGATATGGTGAGCACTGTTACTCAAGTTTGAGAAGTGCTGTAATAAAGTGGAAATGGATATGGGACTGGTTATCTCAAAAAGATCTTGCCTTTAACTAGGATAAGTTTAAGAAGGAGTTTATTTTGTTGTCTTAGACCTAGAGATATGTTTGAAAAATTATCAAATCGTATATGGGATGTGGGAGGGAGCTTTCTAATGTTTCTTGGGTCCAGAATAAGTGAATGGGGGAAGGGCTACTTGACTGTATGAAGTTGTCTGTGTTAGATAAGTATTTGACAAGCACATGACAAATATATGCCTCATAAGGTTAGTGGTTTTCAACCAATTTCAAAGGTTAGTCAACCTTTGAAGTTGGTACAAGGTATTCATAGGCGTGAGGTAATAAAGAGATGGAAGTGAAATATGAATGGGGACGATAAAAGAGTATTGGGTATCAAAAGTCGAATACCACAGTTGCTGTAGAAGGCAGTGAAATGGTATAGAGACAAAGATATCCTCGTCTAAATCATTGAGATAATGCAAATCAGTGCCAGGTAGTCACATCAGGGTGAGTTAGAACCATGCAGGTATGTCTTTCTTATTTTTGTTCTTTTACAAGGGTGAAAGCTTTGAAGGGATCCAAGAGCAGGTAGTACAGCAGGGTCTGCTACAAAATGTATTTTTCAGAAAAGGCTACTAGTAATTTTACCCCAGTAAAAGTGTAAAATCAGTGTAAAAGACAAAACTTATGTTAATGTTAAAAGGCTGTGCTGACCCTGTGCAATCTTTGTTTATAAATCAGTCTACATTTTTTAAATCAACCAAGAAACTATTGCAGCTTTAGTTTCTCTTCAGAATATTTTCATTACAAAAGCTACTACCGGTAGTGCGGATTTGCAAGTTAAGTCACAGATCATTTAGTCTAGCTTTTACTATGAGATATGTGCAGTCTTATTTGGCATTTTGTACTATATCCAAGACAGACTGTTATTTCAATTCAAAAGCTGGTGGAATTGAGCACTCCTACAATAGTATTGTGCTCTTATTCTTAAGCTTGATTTTGCTATTAAAACTAGATCAACCTGTGGCCCAGTTGGCAGACAGGGCTTTAATGATGTCTAAAATTCTAAACAAATGTTTCAATGATTATCCAGTTTGTGAAGATGGGTTTGAGCCAAAACTGAAAATGCTAGTGTTTAGCACCTGAATGAGCACAGATTAATTTCTACATACTGGGTTGAGATGTGCCTAAGTATGTAGGCCTATTAAGGGACAGGTCAGTGATTTTGAAGCAGTAGGTTTTTATAAATTAGTTTTGATTCGTACAGTTGTTTATGTTGGCTATGACATTAATAGCATCATGAAGATGCATGGGGAAAAGGGTGGAAGCACACAAACAGTACTTTTTTGTTGGTCTAATGCCTCAACTTGATGAATGAAGTAAACCTGATGTAGCATAAAAGCTACTGTAACAGTACTAATGGGACTTCTTTCATACTCCAAAGTCGCTGACCTGTTTGTTTAATTAAGGTGTCCCAAAGAGAAGCTTTGTGTACAAAAGTTTTGTATGTCTTGAGTGTAATTTGTACAGTATCTGGGGATACCTGTACATATTGTTGTTTGAGAGAGACAGGTATATTTTTGTACATACTATTCAGACTTAGTTACTAACAGTATTTGGTACTCATTTCTTCTCACAACTTGCTATATTTGTCTCCCGTTAGGAATTGTAAATTACTTGAAGATCTCTTTGAATAGTGTCTTGGGCACAAAAGTTCTCAACAGTGTGAGTGTATGTGATACTAGTATGTCATCATTATCCAAGGAGGGTTTGAGCCGTCTCGATTTACAACAGCAAAGAATGACACAGTAGTCAGTGTCTGTTGTAACCAAATTGAGGACGCAAGGGACATCAGCACTCAGGAAGTCAGAACTTGGTAAAACCGTGTTCTTACTGAAGAGTGTAGGAGTGTATTATATTCCTGTTTGTCAGTCTGTATGTGTTGTGGTTTGATCTAGGGATTTGTAAATATCAGCTTTCTTTGATTTTACCTGTGTTCAAAGTGATACATTTTAGGTATGTTTTGGGGATTTTAACTTGACTTTGTCCTTTTTCTGCATGTGTCTTGAATGTATTTTTACTTTGTGGATATTCATACTTTGGTATGTTTTAGGTATCTTGGATAAGAGTTTTGTACATTTTGTACTTTTGTAACTTGTGTCTGAACATCTAAGAAGTACTTTTAATGATATTGTGTAGATACTGATTTTTTGATATGGATAAAGTGGTGATTTTATGTATATACAGTCAGGCAACATAACTGTTGATATAACAGATTTTCACAACAAGTTCCAATTTGAAACTTAGATCACTGAATTTGACAGTATCAAATATATCATTGTAATTCACAAATCGGAAATGAAGCCCATTCATTTCAGACTGTGGATGAAGGTGTCATGATTTTTTGATTATAAGCATATCAGTTTTATGTGAGGTCATGATATTAACGGACAAATTCAGAAAAAGTAAAGCCAATGAGAAGAACATTTCTCAAACTCCTAAAATACTGAAAATCAGCCATGATCAACATTAAGTTTGTCTGACTTGGAAATAATTCTAATCATCACTATTTCATCATATTGTGTGCCCCTTATATGGTGATGTATTGATGACAAAGGAAAAATATTGTGTTCTATTGTGCCAATTGTTTAACCTGTGGCAGAAATTACTGATCCAAAGAATAGACACTGTCACATGTGCTGTTTTATTGGTTGAGTTGTACATATTGGTTGAGTTTTCTGATATATGTATGATGTAACGAAGGGTATGTTTGTCAATGGTTTACTGTTGGTGTATTCATAAACAATTGTATTGGCAGCAGTTGTATGGGCATTGCACAGAACATGTTATCATTGCTGTACAAATTAAGCAAAACCCTATGTTACATTTCTGTGGTTTTAATATCCAGGTATGGGAGGGAAAAGATGAGTGTTCTAGAAATTCCACCTTTATTTTAATCTCAATCCACTGGAAGGATTCAGTTCATACCACCATGCCTTTTAGCAGTCAGTATTGAATTTCCAGCTCAACTGGCTACACAGATTTCTTTAAGTCTTTTATTTCGGCAGAAAATGTAAAAAAAAAAAACAACAACTATTTTTCCTTCCAACCTGTCAATTGAATTAGGCTAGTTTATCCTCGGGTTCTTGTGAATATACATGTGTCAAATGTACATGTATGAATTTCTGTCACAGTGTCTACTATAGCTGTTACAAAGTAGCTGTTGTGAGCTGTAGAACCTGTTTCTCAAATATCAGAAACAGCTTCTTCTGTTCTTGATATGAATAGGGGCACACTCCAGAGTGTTGTAGGGTCCACCTGGAGTTGAAAGGTTAATAATCAACAGGCCTAAAAATATGCAAATGATTAAGATCTCTGCTAGACCCTTCCATGTCTAAAAGTGTCACTATAGACACTGGTAGAAACACCAGTGTTGTATAGTGGCCATCGAGTACAAATGTTATTACATGGTCTACGTGTGGTAACATCATGACCACATGTACTCTTCATTTTCTTGTCAGCATTACAATAACATGGATGGTTACAAAGATCACCCTATGCACTCTGACCAGAGCTTGACAGCAAGACATCTCAAATTCTAGATTTTGAATTGTCTTCTTTTTAAGTGGCTACATAGAGGTTGGTTTTAAAGCAACAGCTAAAAGCCCCTTGTATTGCTGACAAGTTAATGTTTGATACTGATTTCTTGTCACGCCAGTTGTTTCTTAGTTCTTTATTCTCCCAACAAGTGCACTGTAATGGCATTGCAATAATGTAACAAACAATCCAAGCTGTACATTGATCTCAAAGTTTGACTTGTGTTGAAAGAAGAACTCATTAACCACTGGTGTACCTCAAGAGTTATTACTTGGCCTCATTCTGGGACAAATTTGTCCTGTGACCAGTGAGTGTCCAAATGTAGTAGGATGTAAAATGTAGCGTAACCTAAGTAAGAACCTGCTTCATGTGAGAAATACCTAATGAAGATGTGTATTTGTTGTGACCAAATAGATTTTATCATCAAGTACTTAGGAATATTAAGAGAAGTAGAAATCGGTCTGTCTGATTATCAGTTGAATTAGTTCATCATTCAACCGACTCATTAATGTGGCCCTTCTTACAGTGTCAAATATTTTCATTGTTCTATTTCATGGTGTGAAATTGATTTATATCCATGTTCTGTGGAAAAACTTCCAAAAAAGGTATTTTTCAGAAGTAAAAGTAACATCTTGGTATTTGCTGTAGTTTTGTGGTAATTCAGACAAATCCAACCAACAACCAACGTCATTTCCTTGACTCTTTTATGATTGAGGAAACAGAAGACCACTAGAGGTGAATTCATGAATGCTGTTTTGAAAGACCATGTACTTACTTGAAAACAAATTCAATGGATACATATGACAGATAATACCTAGTATTACATGTAATACTGATTAATTTTTAGATTCTAATCTTCAGTGCACTTAGTTGTCACATGTGTATGAAGTCAAAGTGCTAATGCACTTAAGGAGATAACATGTTGTAAGTGTCAAGCTTGTAATTTTTAATCACTTTTTTGCTATTTTTCTTCATCTTTGTAAACTTTCCAGGATGATAGTTCTGGTATACATCAATATCTAGTATAACAGCTGTTGCACATCATGTTTTGATGTTGACATGTTGGATATGTAGATTAGCGGTACCCAACTAGATGGTTCTCACCAAAGTACAAAGTTTCATTCATGAGCAATCATGTGCTTACTTTCAGACTCATGTGTCTTGAATAACTATAATTGCTTATGGCAATATGGGTTTCCATGGACAACTTATTTTACACTATATGTTACTAGTATGTAGAGAAGGGTTCTTCTCCATGCTTGCTTCATTATGCCCCTTTTCCTGTCAAGTCACATTTCAGTTCTGTGTGTTACTGTCTTGGAATAAAAGCTACACGATCTACAGTACTTGAGTTTTATTATTGCTTTAAAATGGTATTGCATGGAGGATAATGCTTTCTTTGATTTGAACAGGATAGACTCAATGCAGGTAAACAAAGTTATGGTTTAATCATGCTTGCATGTTATGTTGTGTCAGAATAAAGAAATCTTTTTCATTTGACACTAGCAATGTGGCAAACTCACAGAAGCAGTGATACCAGATATAAAAAGTGTCTTCTTTTGGAAGAAAGAGCATTATTCTAGTGGTACTAGTTCCATATACTGTAACACTATTTGATAGTAATGATTTTTTCATTTAAGTGGTGTGGTACATCACTGGACTATGAAACGGGGAGACCCGGGTTCGATTGCGGGTCGTACCCGAACAAGTCCGAACATGCGCCGCAACGTTGTACCCTTGGGAAAGGTACTTTACACGACTTTCCTCACTTCACTGAGTACCTAGCTTCGGTTAGGGGCGTCTTATCGGATGGGACGTTAAAATGGAGGTCCCGTGTTTGAGGAGAGACAAACCTCAAGCATGTTAAAGAACCCACGTGAGCGGAAGTGGAACAAACCATTATGGTCTAAAAAGGGGTTGGGAATTTTCCCGACTAGCCTCTTAACCCCTGCTTCTCCTATTGGGTCAGTTAGTCCTCACAACTTGTGAGAAATTGGGCTGGTCTCAATCATGATGTTTCCGACTCAGGGAGAAGAGTTGCTGTTACAGTTCTACTCGGTAACCTGTAACCCAGGTGAGTGGTAATACCATTCAGGTGGTAATACCATTCAGGTGATACCATTCCGGTGGTTAACCAACCTTGAAGTGGCCTAACGGCCATGTTACGTGGCGACCACTAAGTAAAAATATTTTTTTTTAATTCCCTAGTGAGAAGGAAGCTAAAGTGACAATTTGCATATTCAGAATCATCTTTTAATCGGTGAAAATATTGATATGAGATATTGAATATTTTTTTACATATAAAAACACTGTTCTAATATCTTACAACTCTTGTGATTCCAGTACATGGGCTATCAAACCCTCAATTTCTACATGTAATTGCACTTCTCTATACTTGAGAAAAGCAACATGTATAATTAATGCTATTAGAAAATTTGCAAAAATCAGCATTTCCAAGCATTTCAAACCAAACATAAATTCATGCACATGCAAACCATAATGTTATTGGTAAGAGCACAGAAAAAAAAAAGAAAAAAAAGAAAAATGCATTCAGCAGTTTTGGATCCAATGCAACAAAATATATTTTGGAATGAGCCACATATGTCTTTCAAATAAAGTAAAGATGCATGCATGTACCCAAATGTCATGTCAACAGGTACAAATAAAGCAACAAAATTGATAAAAAGCATAATGAAATAAAACTTTTCACCTCATAAAAAGTAAGAATAGAATCGGAATACAATCATTGTTTGGTAAATTTCTGCATCTCTATAGCCATAGTCTTTCAGCATGACACACCAGCTTTGCAAGCATGCGGCATGGTGGCAGCTGGCTATATTACAAAGAACGACCTTGGCATTACACTTATTGCTTTCACATCCATGGCACTAAATTCTGTAAAGTAATGATATACGTACATTGTACATCTCTCAATGCACTTTTGAGTAAAATATGTTTTACACTTGTCATGTTTTGTACAAGCCGTGCTGTGTTCATGTTCCCCCCAGCCCCTGCTGTGTGCACGTGTTCACATTCCCCCCAGCCCTCGCTGTGTTCATGTATTCGATCACATTCCCCCCAGCCTTCGCTGTGTTCATGTGCCCCCAGCCCCTGCTGTGTTCACGTGCCCCCCAGCCCCTGCTGTGTTCACTGCTGTGTTCATGTGCCCCCCAGCCCCTGCTGTGTTCACTGCTGTGTTCATGTGCCCCCCAGCCCCTGCTGTGTTCACTGCTGTGTTCATGTGCCCCCCAGCCCCTGCTGTGTTCACTGCTGTGTTCATGTCCCCCCCAGCCCCTGCTGCTGCTGTTTCTCCTCCTCCTCCTCCTGAGCTTCAACCTCCTGCTGCTCACGCTCAACATTCTGGATAGTCGTGCCCAGGATGCCCTCAATGTCTGTTATGGCAGCCTGATGGAGAAGAATGGAAAGAAAATGGTCGGGACTAGTCAGGACCTGATCATCCAAGTAAATAAGCATTTGTAAGCTAAAACAATGTGCTCTTCTGAAAACTTGCCCACCACATCTCAAGATGGTTGCTACTTCTTCATGTTAGAAGTCCACATTAGGAGATGGCATAGAGAAATCATCGCACGAAGAGAACATGCAGTAACAGTAGCAGTAGCAGCAAAACAGACTGGATACTGTGCATACCTTGAAGTTGGTCTCCCCCTGCATGTTGGGTGCAGAGATCTCCTGGTGGATGACTGACATGTTCCGAGCAAATGTGGCCAGTGCCCCCTGGAGACTTTCTCCAACAGTGCTGCAGAGAAAGACATTGATACTCATCAATTGATGCTGTCTCATGATTGGAATTCAGAAATAAAGGTTCAAATTCGAGATTGAAGTTCTAGACTTACAGCATGCCAATGTGTTCCCTCCTGAAGCTGTCCAGCAGGGTAAAGACTGTCCCCTGTTTCTCCTGTGGAAGGGAAATGGAATTTGTAAGTATGAATGTCATCACTCATTCTAAGCCAAAGTTACTGCCAATGCTAAATATTCTGCAACAAAAAATGATGTTTTATACGGGATACTGTAACAGGATAATTGACGCTGATGCACCACTCACTTTAATATCTTTTAAGATGATTATCTTTTAAAATTTCTAACAGCAATGTTTCACCCTCCATACCTTGATGTCAAAGCCGATGCCGTGTGCCCTGCACATCTGGAAGAAGACGCTGTAGTGGATGACAGTCAGGTTACTGTGCAGCAGCTGGGTGCTCATCACTGCATACCGGGGCAGCGGGCTCGGCGGCTGGCAAGGAACAACATAGTTTAGTAACTTTTCTTATTACAGTTGGAGGTTGATAAGGAATTTTTGGATAAACAAACAAGTGATTTGATAGTACATTGTACTATGATTACTACCAACACATGATACATACATACAACTTTGAAATTCATGATAAGTGATAATTAAATTAGCTTATTGAATATCCAAACCATGATGTTTAACTGATGTTCTATTACTTGGATAAAGCTCTGGTGGGACATGACAGAAAAATCTTGTGCTATAAATGCATGAAATACATTATGTACTATGTAATTACTGTGCATTCCACCAACATCCTGTACATATGTGTTGAATTTGTTGTGGATTACACTGACAATGCATTTCCTTAAGACATACTCACCTGTTCTTCCTCATCTCCTCTCCTTCTTCTCCCATCCTTCTTCTCCTTCTTAGGCAGAGGTGGAGCCTGGATCACACAGTTCTCAGCATCGAAGGTCCCAGATGTGACATACAGCATCAGCTCTCTCATCCCAGTGGAGTCTCCATAGGACAGGTTCAGGTCTGTAGCCCACAGGACCTGGAGAAACAGTTATAACCATTAACTCTGTGGAACTGAGCAAGAGAAATATGATGATTTTCTACACATTGCTTCTCTTTACAACATTGCAAGCATTTTCTGGTCCTGTGTGATGCAACTCTCGTTTGAAAAAAATTAAGTGATCTTATCTTTTAGACATGTTGTAGTCATCCAATGAAAAGTCTGACACTTGGGTTTTGTTTCTGCAATTCAAGTCAAAATTTTTTTACAAAAGCTTACAACCAAAATTAAGGTCTTCATCTGTTCTAGGAGGATGAACTTACCTGTTCCATAGTTTTGGGGTCAATGAAGGTGACAAAGTCCACAGAGAAGTATCCCAGAACCCCTCTGGTCCGACAAGACTCTCCTATTCTCATACAGCACTCATTCAGTACCTGTTGATTAAAACAACACTTCATGGTTAACCAAGCCTTTTGTAAAGATTCTGTTCTTTGTATCCTTATCACTACCAAATACTTTTATGTACTTTGACATTGTGATCTTCTTTCTACGTTCTACATCCTCCACCCACACTTGTCTTGCTGTAACCTCAACATGCTGTCTTAATCCTTTTCATCCATCCTTTCTCAGGCCTACAAGCCTTGCCATCTCTCACCTGAGGCTCAACAGAAGACTGCGGCACAGACAGGCCCCAGCTCACAAATGGACCCTCCGCCTTGATCTGGTCACCATTGGCAACCATCCGGATTTTCCCTGTCGGCTCGATCACCATGTCAGCAGACAGGGTTGTCACACTCTCTGATGGTGGGCAGGCTTCAATTATACCTCCTGGGATGGGTAGATAGAAGGTGCAAAAAATTAATTAATGCACTGCTAACCTCCTCTATATATTATTTTCCTCATATATTTGTTTCCCTGTTGACTCCTGCTATCATCAATGGAACAGTGGGTGCATAGATGGGCTTGTAGTAAGTAAAAAATTATTCAAGCATGTTTGAATTTCAAATATCTAGTCTACTCCAGTAACATCTATACTTCAACTACCTCATGTTTACTACTAGTATATTACCTACATAATTCATTCCTGAAAGTGAAGAAGCACAGAGTAATTCCAATCACTAACATAAAGAACACCAGTCACACTGACCTTGACTGAGGAAGGCCTCCAGGAACTTGTCCCAGGTTGGAAACCTTTTCCTGTTTGCTGGAACCCCGAACTGATCCAAGATGTCTGGGATCTCTGCCTGGATCTTAATCAGAGCTGGCTCCTGCATGGACAATAGTGGGATCAGTTAGTCTGTTACTTCAAATAATTAAGTCTTACACATCTTTGAATAAGGAAGAAAAAAACATCTTTCATGGTATAGTATTGGCTTGTGTCCTATAGCTTTTGGATCCAACAATCATGCATATTAAAAACCAAAAGTATAAAAAATGACATGCTGAAAGCAATCCTTCTACATATTGAAACACTGCATGCTTTGTGACTGATATAATAGAGAAGTATATGCCACGTACATGTGCCCATTTCTTGCTCCATTTCTCCCCGTATCTGTGCTGCTCCTTGATGGCCCACTTGTAACAGTTGAGATGTTCCACCACGTTGCAGTAGGCTATCCCCCTCCCCATGTACTCATCATCCAGCTTGAACAGCCACCTGCGCACGTTCAGGTTCTCTGTCACCAGCAGGGCCAGCGACTCGTGCAGCTGTGGGTCAACATGGCTGAAGTCAGCATGGGCTGATGTGATATGATGTACATTACATTACAAACTAAGGAACATGGTTCTTACAAAAACATTTTCAACAGACCTGGTATGATGGATGTGTGAAGGACTTCAATTCAATGTTTATAATCAAAAATTATTGAAACAGTTAGGCACCCACCATGTTACAAATGTAAATTAGATATAAAAAAAACATTGTAGTTATTCTAGTTATTCTACTCTATGTTTTGCATTATGTAAATTAGAAATCAAATGCTCTGTCACAGCAATAACTTCATTCAACATCTTGCTTCACTCCTGCTGAGGAAGCAAAGGCATCTGGTAGCTATCCCAGCATGCTGTAGCTGCCCTTACCTGTTGGAGACTGTAGATGTCGTACTCCCCTGGGGGCGTGTCCACCTTGGCACTGGCAAAGATCCTCTTGGAGCCAGACTTGGTGGTGTAGAGATGTCCCACCTCAGGCTCACTCCCCAGGATAGGCACATCTGGTACAGAACACATGTTAGAGCATCACTTACAACTCAGATCAGGTCCCTTCGTGAATAATGTAAATTCAGAATATATAGGAGTTTTGTCTGTTTTGATTACATGCTACCCTCTCCTCAGAATTTACAAACTGCATGTAAGATGTTTTAAAAAGGCTTCCTCCCAGACCAAATAGCTTCTTCAGTCAGCAAAAAGATGCAGCAGGTTGATTTCCTACATTGACATACAACTGTATGTGTACAGTTACAAGAACAGGTGGTTGGCATAAGCAACATACAACTTACCCAGGATCTGTGAGACTGCCAGGTCATCCTTGTGCATGACACCTGGAACAATGTAAGCTTCCTTCCCTTTGATCAGATTTCTTATTCTGAAAAGAAGATGTGAGATACAATATGTAATAACTAACACTTCTAGACCTGTCTCAAATGGTTTCACAGTGTTGTCCAAAAGCAGATGGATAAACTTTTCATCAAAAGCCCAACATGCAAATTGGTACCAATATCACAGGTAAACCAAATCAAAACTAATGTTATATTATGAAACAATACACAAGAAATATGATATGACAGCAAACCTTTGCAAAGCTTGTGGACTGTACTTCAGATGGGTGGCTAAACACATGGAATGACTCTGTAAGAGATATAACAAAAGATTTAATTTGTATAACAAAAAATGACAACAGCAAAGTAGATTCTAAGAGCAACTTTAAAAAAAAAACTTTTAGACTTGGATGTAATTTCCAAATGTCTTGTACTAATACATGCAAACTGCTAATACATGCAAAATCTTTATAAAAGAATGATCTTACTGGAAATTTGTCAAAAGCCTCAGGAACGACAATCTTGTATCTATCTTGCATGTCAGACTGGTCCTCTACCACACCAGACTCTACAGCAGGTCTGAGCCCTAGCAGTTTGGAGTAGTACTGCAGCATCTCTTCACTCATCTCCACAGGAGACACATAGATTACATCCACCTGAGGATCTGAAGGGAAGGGACTTCTGTTTTAGATGCAGTGCTACTAAATGATAAAAGATGTGATGAAAAACAAACCATCAGCATTTGTGCGAACTGTTCTTTACATGCAGATCAATAAAAGAATATCACAAAAGGTCAGAAATATTGACTAAGGTTTCTTACCCCTGAGATCACATAATCTTGACATCTGTGTGTTCTGCTTGATTCCAAAGTCTTTGATAGAATCTCTGACTGTCTGGCTATAGCCTTTACATGTGTGACAGAGAAATATGATTATTATCAGAAAAATAGACATTTTCAAAGCTCACAAAAAGAAAATCGTCAAGACCATCTAAAATGCGATAATTCCTACAGAGGAAGATGTCACACTACATCTTATGATTGTTATCTTCCAACAGACGGTACTGACCTAGGGAGGGTATATGGATGATAGTTCGTCTGGATTGCTTTATCTTGTCCCAAGAGTCGGAAAATATCTGCAAACATACCAACAATGTTACAGGTTACTTCAGCATCATATCACAAGGTACTTTTAGGCAAAGATGATAATTGAAGTATAACAGTTTTCAAGCCCAATCATAGACAGTAGGATCAAACCCTCTTATTTAAAAAAACTTTTCTAGATTGTCTTCTTGGTACGTGGATAAAAGTTTCCTGTTTCCCACCTTCCTCCTCCTCCTGTAGGACTCCAGTTCATACAGCCTGGTCTCCTTCAGCTGTTTCCTGATCTTGGCCATCTTGATGTTCATGATCCAGGAGATGGCGATCACCCCGGCTGCCCACTTCCTCTGTCGGTAGCTCACGTACGAGCTACGCGCTGTGTACCGCTTCCACATGGCCTGGATCTTAGCAGCAGCCACATGTTCACCGTCTGGGCCCAGGAATCTCCGACCCTGGAATGACAGAAGAACTGTGTCAGGAAAATTTAGTTTCAAGTGAACCACTGTCAGCATCTTTTTTGCATTTGAAACATGGAATGGTCATCCTGAAGAGAATACAATTTATGAATCTCTTGAATGAAGATAAACTTTAAAAACTAAATTTCAATATAGATTTCATGTACATTTACTTGTACCCTGCTGTCCACTAAAAACAATGACAAGAATAACAGTTCCTACTCACAGGTCTGCGAAGGATGGCTTCCACATCATCCCTATTGACTATAACAGACAGCAGGTTGTCCCTGGTAGGAGCTTTCTCCAGCTCAAACTCCAGCGCCAGGTCAGCCAGCTTGTCTCCGTTGATGAAGGCCAGGGGCACAGCAAAGTCTCTCAGCAGTCTCAACAGGTGCTCCAGGGCTGTGATGATGCTGGGGAGGGGGTATATTGGTTATCAATGGAAGGCACACTACAAGTCTGTACAAAGCTTAAAATTTCTATCATATAATGATATCATGAATGTCTGTTCTATACGGAATAGAAAAGATGAAAAATGCTAGTAGTAAGAATAAAATACAGCTTTCATCTCCTTCTATTTGTTCTAATCGTTAGATTTACAGGGCAAAAGACATGAGAGTATCAATGACTTCAGTTCTACAGTTCTAGGACATGAAGGGAAGTTTGTATCCTGTTGAAAACTTTGAGTCATATCTGTGTCAATCTGTAACTGCTGTAAAAATGTACACATGTATTCTTACCTGCCCCATGACAGCACATAGTGTTGTCTGAAAGCCACAAAATCAGGCGCAGTGTCTCGGATGCCACCATTCTGGATAGCAAACCTGTGGCCACTGCGCTTGAAGTTGACTGTGCTGGCAGGAGTGGTGGGTGGTGGCTGAAATATGATGTGACATTAAGATCAGTTAAAATATTGATAGCATTGTCTACTTCAATAAAAGAATGAAATCCTGAAATTTAAAATCCTTTTACTTCCAACTTTCCTTTGGAATTCACCAAGTCAGTACTGAATGGCTCACAAACTGAATCAGATATCATTTACTAACCTTCAAGTACATATATGGCACAGGCCAATCATATCATACATGAATACAATCTAAGATGAAGAAGGCTCCATGTCTGTTACAAGCAGAACTCACCAATGGCTGCAGCTGAGCCTCGAATGTCTTGACCTGAAGTGGTGTCTTGGTAACCCTGGAGTCTGCTGTTTGGGGCGTCTTCTCTGGTTTCTTAATGTCCATAGAATCCAGGGACTTATTGGATGAGACATCCAGCTGTAGAGAGCATGGAAAGGTCAGAAATACATATAAAATTTTGTAACCTGCAATACATTTTACTGCCTTTAAGCATCAATAAGTAATATGAGAAAATGGGATAGAGTAGAGGTGTCTCGGTAAAAAGATTTAAAGCTTGACAAGGCTCAATCACAATCAACTTACCTTAACTTGGGCAAGGTTGAATCTTCCATCTGTGGACAGAAGAATGAGTGGTTACAGCAAAATGGAATACACAACAAGACCACAGTAACAAGAAGACATAAACTACATGTATATAAAATTAAAAAGTAGGAATATGGTATTCCTATTCTATTTTCATGTAAACATTATCTACCACCATCATACTGTATTACAGAATGTACTACAGATGTAGTTGTGTCATTGCTAATGCTATAATGAATAACCTACATTGGTACTGAAGAGCAATATAGAATCATGTTGACTGCTGAAGGAAAGTAGTCCTCCTCTATAACAAAAAAAAAAAGGTTTGCTATGAGAACACCATTATCCACCTCCACCGTACCTAGTGTCGGGTCGGCACCTGCTTTCTTTGGCTGGAACATCTCCGCTGGGTCGTGGAGGGGAGCCACACGGTGTTTCACAGGGGAGGGGTCAAGGGTGAGCTCGGCTGCAGGGGGGATGAGACCCCTCTCCATCAGACTGAGAATCCCCTTCCTGGCGTCTCGGTCAGCGATGGGGGGAGGGGGGATCTGAGGGTCCACTCTGTTGGCTCGTGGCAGTACTGCCAGGTGGTCCACTGTGGTGCCCTTCATCAGCTTGGATGGTGACGGCTGTGTCATGTGACATGGCATAGATCATGGGAATTAGATTGCAACTTGCTACTTGAAGGACCAGCCAGCCAGCAGTTGACGATAATCAGATAACTGTTCCTAATATAATGTAACGTCACAGCTGCAATGCTAAAGAAATGCCTTAAAGTGGGTAAATTTATAACTGTTACAGTGCTGTATATTAATCAGAAATCATGCTAATATGAAACACTTTCTAACAGGACACATATTTTATTATTAAGGTATGACATATTCACACCTTTGCAACAGCACTAAAATCTCCCCCACCTGTTTGGTTTCCCTCTTGTTGATGAGCGGCAGCTGGATGCCGTAGCTGTCACTCATCACCTGTCTGTTCTGGGTATTCTCTGGGTTCACCACTGCCTTCATGCTCATGTCCATCTTAGTCTGAGCAGGAAATAAACCATGTATATCTGACATAGAAATGTGGGAGGTGTCAACAAGAGGAACCTACATAATAGTACCCAGTAATAAAAAGTCTGACACAGCTTTACATGTTGCTCTTATAATAATATCCATTGGTGTTGTCCATTTGATTGTTCATCTGTGTTGGCAGTAATCATAGTAAAATGTTGAACTTAAATCCAACACAAGGATTACACAGAGATCGGTGGACAATATAAACTCCCTGGCACGTTTGATCAATTGCTCACATCACATATCCGTAAAGTCTTGTGTGAATAAGGTCACGTGTGGGTAACCGTAACTCTCTAGTGATTGGTCATTAATTATCCTGATGAAGGTGACAGTGGTCATTGAAAATTTGACCTCTGTGTAATCCTTGTGTTGGAATAAAGTTCAACATTTTACTATCCATTGGTGTTGATATGTACCAAACATTTATGTCAAGGTTGTAAGACTTCATGCGTACTAAAAGAATGGTCGTTAATACTATAATACTCACCATTTGCCCAGGAGCCTCAGTCAGTGGCCCTCCTCCTTGTAGACCCCTGGTCAGCTGGGTGAGCTGGGCCACAGGCCTGCGGGCCAGTAGTCTGGAGTCGGCTCGCTTGGGCGGCCGGATGATCAGCTGGGACTGGCCTCCTAACCGTGGGTCAAACTGTTCACTGGACAGAAAAAAGATAGAGAATCTTAGGATTCAGCTTTCATAGATCTGAATAATATCTTGTTGGCAAATGTATAGTTGACACAAAGAAACTTCCGTGATTCAACGTGTAAATGAGACCTGTACATACTATGGGGCCATCTCAGGATAGCGAGGTTGTGGTGTGGCACCAGTGAAGTCCACTGCAGGTAAAGTCTGTACTCTGTTGTTGATCATCCGCAGGACATCATGTGTTCGACCCTGCACATTTTAGGATGAGAAACACATGCCATTTACGTATGCAGCTGCAAAGTAATGAATTTACTATGACAACTTTGAATTTTTACCACTATCACATGATTGTAAAAGTTTGACAGCAAGAAATACAACTTCACCAAGTCAATGATATAATTGAATTCTGTGCCAATGACATATACATGATCAATATCTGAAGCCAAGGGGAAAGGTGTGTGAATATGTTTGGTTCAAATCAGCATTACTAGGTCTCACCTTGACTCCAGCCTCAGTTCGTTCTATGGCATTCTCCAGTGCCTTGAGGTCGATGACCTCTGCATACTGCCCTTCCCCATGGCCCACCTGGTGTACCAGCCTGTCCCTCAGCTGACGCAGGTCTTCCTGTACCTGTTGAAGACCAGGATGTTAACTTTGACCAAAAGGTTGAAATTTGTTGTGGTTAAAGTTTGATAATATCTTTACTACAAACAAATAAATATATACATTATACTTAACTTAGGAACTTTTATTGTTACTCTCCTCCTGCCTCAACATTCACTAATGTATCAATGTAGTATCAGCGTTCCAGTCATAACAAGAACCTCCTTAGTCAAAGCAAGGAGCTTCAACAAGATACTAGTACAATGTATAACGTTAACGTCCCTGGTCAAAATAATGTTCTCACATTTGAAACCTGACCCCTGGTGACCTCATTTCTTGTCAGGGGGACAAAAACTGTGTATTCTACCATAGAATTGGCCTGGAAAAATGGAGAATTCCTGGATATATTCCACATTCCCTAACAACCTTAACGGGTCACAACCCCCTCTCTCGACCGTGACGTTTGATATGGTTTAATAAGGTTATCCTGAGCTCAGATAGTCCTGAGTTACAGTAATTTGCAACAGGTGGGTGTTTGAGCTTTTGAAAACCACGTAGTCAAGATATAAATCTATGTTGTTTGTATGTTGCTAGACTAATTTATCATGTCAAGATCTAAACTACACGCGAATGATGAATTAGTTTATGATCTACTGCTTCAGTTTATTTAAACACCCAAGTTCGATGCCGGTCACAGCATATGCAGCACACATAAGTTATTTACAAAAGTTAACAATCTCTTTACCTTGACGAGGATTTCCCCCACTTCCTCTGGTCTCCTTTCCATCATCGCCGCTGCCTGCATCTTGGCTGTTGTTTGTTACAAAGTAGAATTCACAGGATAACTAGAAGTTCTACAAATTGGATAAGTGTCAGTCCCACTGGTTAGCCATTTTCCTGGTCTCTGGGGCAACAATCCGCTAAACAGCACAATGCGCCTGCGCCTCCTTTGTGTTTGTTTTGAAGCCGAAATAGCGTTTGAAGTAACACGAGAAAAAACGAGATCTTCTTCTGGATGAGGGCGATTCAACGATGGGGGAAGCTCTGATCACAATGTACCCCAAAACTAACAGAACAGGAATAGTTATAAACATCATATAGCATGGAATATCATAAGACATATAGAATTATCATAGTTTGGGCATAGGTTTGGAAATATAGTACCTTTCTTGGATATATAATTGTATTATAACTAGAATTCACCCCTCCGTTAATGTTCAGGAATTCAGAGTTCCAACAAACAACTATTAGACTATTCCAAAATGCGAACAAAAATGGGGATTTATGTGTAAACTGATTATTTCTTTCTCCTATAAGTATTGATAAAAGTAAACATGTATTAATACATGTTTTTTAATATAGTGTTTTGTTTACTAAAAAGGGTTAATATGATAGTTTGTTGGTTTCTTTTCTAAAATATAGCTTACAGCTAGATCCAAGACTTACCCAGAAAATACCAGGGTCGGCACTCATATATATGCGATATGATTGGTTAAGCTGAAAAAAATGTAAAACGTGCGCTGATTGGGTTTTGACAGAATTTCCCTGTAGTAACGGCCCCTCTGGTTGGCTCATTCTCGCGCGGGACGCGGAACGAGAAAAACAAAGGGAGCAGGGGCACAAAAAATCCGCCTCAAATGACATTTTTACGCGAACTTTGTATTATTTCCAGTTGTACGCGAACATGCCCTGCTTTTTATAACCGTAGCAGAGGATCACAACCAATGGGATCGAGTGTAACAAACAGAAAGTTGTTTATCTTGAGGTCACTCTTAGGGAGGCAAAAATGGCGTCCACTCCTTTGGTGTTGATAGCAAGCTGTACCCCCAATTTTCAGGCCGAAGGCCTCGTGAAACGTAAGTACGACGATTTAAACTATTTACAGAAGGAGTTAGTTTATCCTTTCATGTAAAGATGTTACATTCGAGTGATCTTCAATCCTAATTTTACCATAACGGGACGAGAGCGGCCCCTTTATCAATGTTTTGATCATGTCAGCTTTGTCAATTTTTCAAATGGTCAGCTCGGCCCGCCCATTCAAGCGCAGCAAGGCCAAATAGTCGAAGATTTGACCGCCCGAAACTGACCATGTGCCTTACCACTTTGTTGTCACCAGTTTTAAGTGCAGTTCACGGCGGTAGGGAGCATTCCTGGCTCCGCAAATTCGGAGGCAAACCAAGGCTTCTGTGTTTGAATTCGCAGAAAACCGCGCGCGGGCTTGTTGAAAATCCCGCTGTTAGGAGCGGGAACCGGGCTGGCGGATGTTGCCGTGCCCACTCTTGCGTTCCGCGTCTGTAACGGTACACTTACCCCCTTCCCACCCCGGTTCAAATCACTGACAGTCATTATTTCCTTCTTACAGAAATAATTGGGAAGGATGATCTGCCTCCCGGTGTGGCTATTGTGGAGAAAATGACGGGTTTTCCCTGGACGATTGACAACAAATACTACACCGCTAACGTACACATTTGTATCGCCCTGGAGAAAACCATCGGCAACGCTGAGTTTGCAGAAGCTCTGCAGGCAGTGATTTTACACTTCGACAGCAAGGAGGTATATTTTCTGTCCACTGTTTGAAACAAATTCTTAACGAGATATTTTTTTATCAATGCAGTGTTGTAAATGTTAGTCAAGAAGGTAAGATGTAATTGTAAATTTGAAATGTCGTTGCATCTAAAAACTGAACTTCAAAGGAAAAGAATAGGAGCAGAAATTCTACATGCCAACACTTGAAGAGATAGTCATCAGTGTGTGACCGCACATATAATCAGCAGTCAGGGCAGCATTTCCATTTGCCTCAAGACTAAGGTTGCCCTCTATAACCCCAAGGCTCCTCTTTGTCAGTGTGTTACTGCACTTACGCCAGGTAACTTGTCATCTGTCTTGCCATTCCAACTGCTTTAAAAATCTGCATATACATTGAGTGATGGGTGTTACAGTGCTAAAATTCTTTACCAACTTTTTATTTACAAACTCAGCAGGTGCAGGGTTCTAGCTAGGATTTTATTTTAGCGTAGTGGTACCTGACGCACGTCGAGGGAGCGAAGCGACCGAGAGGGTGGATGGGGCGGAAGGGGGGATGTCCCCCCCTTCCGCGGTGCGGAGCTTTTAAAAATTTAAGCTTAAAAAGCAGCCATTTGAGGGATACCCAAAGGGAACAAATGTCATTTCTAAGGTATGTACAATGTATCCTTGATTAGTAATTTTTATATTTTTGCAGCTTGGAATCTTCACAAAATACAGAAGATACTCCAAATCAGACACAACCAAGAACAGACTCTGAGATAAATTAAATGTTAAACATAGCATCTGGTGTGCAAAGTTGTAATATTCTACATGCAAAAAAAGTAACTATAAATAATATAGGAAATACGTCTGTTTTGCCTGCTAATAGTGTCTCATTATGAGGCACTTTTAATCTCCTTTGTGCCATTTCTGTTCTGCAAAACTGGGCCAAAATTTGACGTGATTCAACACGTGGCTTTGTTGTTATTGCCAAGCTTTGATGCTGACATGATTCCAGGCACACCCAGTATGTCGACATAGATCGCACAGTAGCTAAGAGCATGAAATCGGCATGGCACCAGCACTGACGCATATGTGGCAGGAAAACCCACGTGTGTCACAAAGATCACAAACGCCCTTAAAGAAAAACGGCAAAAATTTGACAAGAGAGCAATAATTTGTATTTACTTGTTTAAACTATGAACGGATCCAAGGGGTGAACTCCCTTGTTTAGTTTACTAAAGTGGCAAATTTTCAACCAACGCAAGTTTGCCGCTGTGGGCTTTAGAGGCCCCTCCCCTTTTCGGGAGCCGGCTGGAACTGTAAAGCACTTTAATTATTAGGCTGGTGACTAAGTACATTGTAACTCTTTGTATTTTTTTCACCTTGGCAAGATATAGAATTAATGCAATTTAGTGGAAGGTGTTTATGTCCAGAGTTACAAGGAGAGATCTGTTGAACACGGGAGGAAACATATTTGTGCTACATACATCGTGGCGTGGGAATTGTTAAATAGGCCAGCCCATATATAGCGTCCCAGAGGGAAAGCCGACACTATGAAGGGGGCGGAACATCCCTTCTACAGACTGGGCTAGACACCCTGACGCCAGTGTCTGGGCGTCAAGAGACTGCCGCTGTCACTCACAGAAGGGCGGCAACACAAGTTGTAAAGAAGCCAAGGCCCCGCCTAGGCACGCCCCATTCTCCTGGGAGGGCCGCCACGTGCGTTACTTTGCTAAAAAAAACATTTTTCACATTTGATCTGGCATTTTTGAACAAAGAAATGCAGTCACAATGCCGCTACGTTGTACTGAAAATTAGCGTAGCGGGGGAAAATTGGCGTAGCGGGTCAAAATTTTAGCGTCGCGGGCCCCGACGCTACTTAGCGCTAGCTAGAACCCTGAGGTGTGGGGCTCACTAAACAGTCATTTGAGGGGGATAAACCTTTTTTTGAAACTCTCTGTGGGTGCCAACAGACCTAGTTGCACATTGTTGCCATTGTAATTCTGTACTGTACTGTATTCCATAACAATTTGTAGAAGGTAGTACTAGTAGGTCATCTCATTGACCAGATTTTTCACCCTTAGCTCTTCATGTCCCAGCCATATTGAGTCATGTAAAACTAAAGGGTATTTAAAATGTTGCTACAACAACCCTCAGAATGGTTTTGATGGATTTGATGAACAAATAAACTAGCCACACAGACTGGTCTCCATCAACAAACAATTGGCATGTTTACCTACAGGCAATTATGCTGAGGTTTTATACTGAGAAAAAGAAAATCTGAAGTCGGTAAAATCAATGATTCATGTATATAGCAATGAATTAGAAAGACTGAGTTATTATAATTCTGTCATTCTCTGTAAGTTTAAGCACTGTAACCAAATGTTGTTGCTGTGTCACCTGAGTTTGCAAGTTTTACTCTAATGCACTCTTTGTGTAGAAGTCATCAAGTATGTTTGTTTGTGTTGATTTTATGTTTTTATTCTATGCTCTTCCATGAAATCCCGACAACTGGTTGTTGCTAACAGTTGTTTTTTTGTAACAGGTTCAGAATAACAGCTTGACTAATGACTGAATCCTCAGCCTTGTTCCTGATTTGCATACTTGTATTGATGTTCTGTCACTGTTACATTGTATGCATTCTGCTGAACATTATGTTATCACCCTTGACTTTGCATGTTATTTGTCTGTAGTGCAAGCCATCCATGTAAACATGTCTCAAAAATGAAAAAAAAGTGAAATATGTGATATATACTTGCACTTTTGGAGGCAAGAATCTGTACATTGGAGCAGACATTGTATTTTAGTATGGCCTGCAGTCCCATCGCCTGGTCTTTGATTCCTTAGTTTCAAACAAAACATGGTGTTGGTTTCCCAGCCAGGTTATTTGTGATCACAAGAAGAGAACAGCTGCAGTTTCCATGTCACAGTTTTGGGGACTGTTTGGTCACTAGAGCCAGATGTTCATCCAGATACCAACAATTGTTGTTTTACCACATATTTTACATCAAAGGTTGTTGCTTATAAGCAGAAATAGTAGGTTTGTAAGGAGTAAAGACAGAAGATACTCCCCAAGATAAGTCATCTCTGCCAAACAAAGCTGTGTCAATTAAAGGCACCATATGTGTTGTGTCATCCAGTGGTAATGCAGATCGAGGAACCATCCATCCACTGAGTAGGGTAAAATGGTCTACAGTTTTTTTCTCACCATGATACTATCTATTTTCTTCCTAATTGATTGCATTTTTACATGGCGCTTTGCAGTGCATTTTTTTGTTATCATAATTTAAATGCTTGTACAATTTTTTTTTACATTTTTCTTTTCATTTTCTATTCAAAAACCCCTATGATTACCCATGGTATGCTCCTTTATAATGCTATTACATCACATCCAGCTGTGACCGTGTTTTGATTGGGTCCTTAGGTGTGACCAAATATGGTCATCGGGGCTAGAGCAGTATATGTCCTTACCAGGTAGCCAGTAAAAAGGGTTAGGATGGAATAGCATCTGTAGGCAATCTTGTCAATGTGCCATGCTTGGTCGGTTGTCCAAACATATGCAGAGGTTGCAGTTGTACAGTTATTACAGATACTGCCCCAGTTCTGACCAGCACATGATCATGGTTGTTGTCACCAGCCCCATTCCTGGGTCTAATGCAATTTCCCTGCATCGCCTCATTCATGAACACAGCCAGGTAGGGAAAACATGGATTTGATTACCAGGGATGATGTCATGGTCGCTCCTTCCTGCCAATGAGGAGGAAGCGGCTGGTGCCGGCGCCCCTGACTGCTGCATCCTGCTGCCTTGGGGAATATAAACCACCAAGCAGCAGTGTGCAGTGGTGAGGGTTGTACGGTAAAAACTACAAACACAAGAAATAATACGGATCAGTATCATCAACCAATTGGATGGAATTTTGTCCAACACTGTCAATCTATTGAAGCTATAGTATGAAAAATGAACCATTTCGTGAAACAATATTGATTGCAGCTCTGCATATTATTATGAGACTATCAATCACTCTGCCTACAAACACAAGAATAATCACCAATACTGGTTAGCCCATCACATGTAATTATGTCAATTACATCCACTTGCCTGAAGTAGACCTGGTATGTAAACCACCCTTTGATGAAACAATATCGATTGTACCGCTACTTATTATTAGTACTCTGCTCATTATGTGTGAACGATAAAGCCAGTTTCCTGCGGGATGTTATAATTGTACAGTATTACAAATAGTGTTAGTTGTTCTGTTCAGCTGCATTGTGTAATTAACTTGTCACAGCAAAGTTGTGTGAATAGAGGATGGTATCTTCTTACCACACTCAGGGGAAAGAGGAAGGAAACACGTAAATGGGGAGGACACTGCCTGCATTTTAAGAGGGCTGAGATTAATGATGGTGAAGGATTTCCAGAAAATATTTCCTTGCCAATATGAATTAAGCATTGCTCATCAAAATTTTTTTTCAGTAAATCTAAGTGGTTTGTAATTTATTATTTTGAACAAAGCCAGGAATCTGACATTTAGGTAAGTTGATGAATTATTTTTTTTTACCATTGATCAGAAGAGTATGTCTACGTACAAAACTGACATGTAAGAGGTGTGTTGTGGAGGACAGGAATACAGTGGGGAAGTGGTGTCATTGGAAGCGACAAAAAATATGTCACAAGTTTTAATATCTTCACAGTGCAGTATGTCACTTGAATGCCAATGCACTCAGTGAGTCTCAAACGAGACCTATCACCCATCTTGGAGAGTGTAAAAAGAAGTGGCTGACAAAAAATTTCAAGATGGTCACGGAGATACGGCAACCTTGACATGCCAAATTCCTTACTAATAGGGTCTGACATGGAACAATTTGATGTATGTTGAGAAGTCAAGCCGCAGTGATCTGCATTTGGTTTTATCTGGGCCCCCAGGGCAGTATAACTCATGACATCAGAATGTATTATGGAAACTATTCCAGGTTTGAGTTACATTTTAGTTACAGATACACAATATGTCTGTTAAGATAAGTGATGATTGTGAAATATGAAAAAAGAGCAATGCCACTTATTTTGTGCAGGTGGTGGTGTTTTTTTGTGCTGGTCATGACCAGTTATTCTACAGATTGTAATTTCCATGGCAGGGTGGTTTCTGGGTGAAGGAGCTCAAATCTGTCTCTTTTCCTTCTGTTTGGTCCTCTACTGGAACCATTCCAGCAAAAATACCTCACCTTTGACATTTTGGGTAACATTGTAAGCCTGTCTTGGCAGGGCTGCCAACAAATTTCCTGGCATGGTTCACTGTTAATGTATTCCTAGTACTAAAACACCCACTGATTTAGTGGAAGTGGTGAAGAAATGTGTACATGGTTCATGTTAGCACATAGCAGAAGGGGCATCACCACTACAAACAGGTGTGTGTAAACAGTAACCATGACGACCTCACTGCTTGTAGGGTGCTACACCACTAAGCCTTATTGTACATTAGCTGCTCTTATTCCAGTGGGATGGGTGGTAAGGTGGTTTTGGGTTTCTAATAAGTTATGACCAAAAAAAAAAATGAAGAGCATTTAGTTGCCTTTTTTTGTCAAGCACAAAATGTGGATACTCAAGGAAATGTGATTGAGGAAGTTTTCTGGCTTCAACAGTAGGCAAACAGGCAGACCTGAATAATGTTTGCTGTGGCAGACTAGAGCATTCTAACATCACAAACAGAGAGCAGTGTTTACCAAGGACTCGGTCCATTGTACTACAGGTTTGATCTTTGTTTTGTTAAGATTCGGAAATTTGACGTCAAAGTAAAACAAATACACATGACAGGAATAGTTAATTTTTGTACCCACTGCACCTGATTATTTTTTAAAAAATGTTAAATTTCAAACAAAGGTAAAAAAGTGTAACTGTTTTGTAGTAATTGAATTGAACAACGCGTAAGTACAATAAACATATTGAGAACAGTGAAGAGGCTATGTTACTATTCAGCTGTGCTTTATTTTCCTGTGTTACTTTGATGTTCTCTGCTTTGTTTTACCCTTCCCAGTATCCCCTAGGCTAGCATCCCAGTGACTTGGTTGAAGGAAGCCTGATCCCTCATCCATGTTTCAACTGTTGCATCTTGCTGCCTTTAGAACCTTCCATCCATAAAGCAGCAGTATGCAATGGTGAAAAATGGATGCCATGATTCAGCTGTAGATATGTGTATTTGGTAAATAAGATACTGTTAGCAGGTATTAGAAGTGGTTGATTTGTATGTAGCTATCTAGACAAGTTTTCTGTTGCTTAAAAAGTAAGACAGGCACTCTTGAGTGTATGACCAGTTAATCTGCAGTTTATTCAAGAAAAAGAAAATGAAGGTGAAATTGGTAAAAGTGTAGGTTCTATGTAATGACACAAATAAGAAATTCTGGCTGCTTGTTGCTGTTCCTATGTCAATATGAACTTGGCTACGAAAGAATCTCCTGCTGAATACAAAACGAATAAACTTCTTTTGCAAATTCTGTGGATATGTTGTGTATTTATTCCGTTTCTACTGTGTTGCTAACTTATGCTGTAAGTCCTTACATTCCAGCAAATCTCTACAGAAAATCATTAGAGTCAGAAGGTGATATGCAACATTAGTCCATGTAGTCCTTTCAGATTTGATTACGTACAGATACTATAACAGTTATAATAACAGTCAAGCTAATTGTAAATTGTAGTTGTGTAATGGAGTTATATTTGAGAAGTACATTTTATAATTGACATTGGACAAGCAAATTTGACCATAGCTCTATACTTGACAAATCACCCTACATTTGTAGCAAACCTCATTCAACAGATAAATATGCCACAGACATTTGTGATCTCAAGATGTCATCCCAAGGCTGCCGTAATTCATGATACATTTTAAAGTCCTGATAACAAATGCAACCAACAGACTCGTTTTAAAGTGAGTAGTGTTACAAGCAGTCCTTTGTTTCCTTTAAAGGCTGCTAGTTTTGAGTCGGTGAAGCAGTGGCTGCCCTTCCTGACTCACCTGGACGTGGATGTGAAACTGCTGACCTGTGGGCTGCTGGAACAAGAAGGAGGTAAACACCAGGTAGCCAGCAAGCAGCCTAGATCATGTTCCAAGCAATGATGGAAAGGGCTTAGCACTGAACAGTGATACAACAAATTAAGAAAGTCTAACCATAATTTGCAGTTAAAGGCGAGTAATATTGTGATATACTGGAGGTGTATGGAAGATTGTTAGATACTCATGATGCTTTTACTTACTGAATTGAAACTCATTGCATGATAGAGTGTTTAGAAATTCTTTACCTCCATTTTAAAAAGCCATAGTTGAAGCACCTACTAAGTACAGATACTAGTAGTGTTTCCATAGTGATTCACATGTAATATCTAAAAGATAATGGTAGATTCACTGTATGGCTTCATACAATACAATGTCCTAAGTCTATGCTCTGTTGATGTTTGTCTTAAAACCTATTGTTCTGCAGCAGTGTTGACAAGAGAAGATGTTTTCACGTGGTGCATAGAGAATGGGTTTGAGTTGGTAGAGCTGCAAGAATCACAAGACAGGGATGAGGAAGATGTGGAAGGTACCTCAGCTTTGTACATAAATAAAATGCATCTTTCTTTATCTTCCAGTGGAAGTTTATGAAAGGTTTTAATGACTAAGAAATGGTGCAATGGTTCCGTTCAATATATAGTAATATAATCTAGTCAGGATAAGGACACACCGATTTAATTTTATGGATGACATCCGCGCACGCATTGATTTTTGCCTGTTCTAAAAAAAAAGATCACGTCCTCCGAGGCTGTACTAGCCTGGGTAGTCCATAGTACTTAGCAACAATATGGAGCTGATGGTAACTCTTGAGGATGGCACCCAGGCCACAGAAGCTCCAGGACTCAAGAACTCAGTACATGCGTATAGTGCCGATTTATAAATTCTGCAAAAAGCCAGTATGCGCTGGCTTCTTGTATACGTTGCTATGTACTGCTGCAAATTCACAATACCAGCTTTGTATCCTTGTGGTTTAGAGGCATTTTTATTTTTGCTGGAATTTTTTTTTATTCGCTGCGCGCACTGATTTTGGGGTTTTCGGAGGATGTCATCCATAGAATTAAGACGGTGTGGCCTAAATGGCTTTTGAGTACAAAGGAGGAACACCAGTGTTGCCTTGTATTGAAGAGTAATTTTCAGGTCTGAGTTCTTATACAGACTACCTTGGTGCCTCATCAAAATTCTAATGGCCTTTATTGGAAGGATGTGTTCCTTTGAATGCAATTTTCAGGTACAAAATGCCATGTATATCAATCAAGGCATTGGTGCAAATTCTCTTCTTCACAAACAAGACAGATTTTCCAAGGCTCAATCATCTAACCTGATTAGCTGAAACAACCATGTTTTTTGTTGAAACAATAATTACTACTTTGTTTCTCTCCAGATAGTTTTTATCCTGATCCAGTGGGGGTGAAGAGGATAGTATCAGCTCTCCATGCACACACCTGGCCAAACCTCGAGCTTAAAGGTAGAGTCTTTCATTCTCTTCACTTCGAGTTTAACCAGGATAATGTTACTTTTTGATTTGCATATTTGAGTCCCTATGTTTTGGATCTATGAATTTTGTTATGCTTGTGATAGCTACCTTTCTGTCCTTTATCTATACATATCTAATCTTTGTGGATTGCCTACTTGCCTATGTGCTCAGGCCAGGTACTGGCCCCTTGCTCCCCTCCGTCTGGTTTCTCCAGGATTATCAGTAGGCAAATACTGTTTTTGTCTGAATCATAACTTAATCCGGTACATAGATGAATATGGGAAAAGTACTTGTCAGTGTTCTCAAACCTAATGGACCGTTTCATAAGCCACGCCCCCCTTAGCAACACCCTAGCAACTCGAACACCTCCGTCAAAATCAGTGCGGGAAGGGCTGCACCGACTGCCGCCGCCAGAATGTTAGATTTGCAGCCCAACTTTACGGTCGATTTTTCGGCAGCAGAAAACTCTCCCAGGAGACAAAAAAATTGGTTGAGCTATATTTGTTGAACGGTACATCCGCAGAGTAGAATTATTTTAGGAGGGGACAGAGGTAGTTTCAGTGAGAGTAAAATGTTTTCGCTCAATACAGATGCGGGATTGGCCGCATGACATCACACGTTAGGTGGACAAGAGTGCCCGGTTGCTGACTAACATCTGATACATGTGTGAAACAGAGTACGACGTTTATCTATTACAGGTTTTCCGTGGCATTTGCTGCATGCATCACAGCTGCATACAAGCTTTGGAAAAAAACGAAATGGGAAATAAAAACTCACGGGGACTCACGAGGGAGGGCGCAACTTATAGGGGATTTGTGGTACAAGTAGAAAAATAAGCACGCAAACACGGACATAAACAATAATTATAGCTTATGAACAAATGGAAGAATAACAGAACGTCCTTGATCAACTTGAAAGTGCATGCAATGTCACAAATTCAGTTTCAAATGTAAAACAAGCAGTTTTTATCAAGCAGACATCAACTCAGTTTGCTGCTTTTAGATTTCCCGCGCTGACTTTGACGGAGGTGTTCGAAATAGAACAGGGATTCGAAATAGGATTCGATGCGTTTGATCTGGAACGGTCCATTTCCAAGGTTTGTGTTCACTTCCTATCTGGTGAAAGATCAGTAACTGACCTATGAATGGTTCCCTTTCAGACACCAGTTCTGACAATGTGTCCAGACTAATGGCCCTCCTGCATGAACGGGAGGACCAGCAGGCAGGCAGGGGGGATGCTGAGGGGGAGGAGGAGACAGAGAGTAGGGGGGAGCCAGAGGGGGCAGAGAATGGCACACAGGTGAGCAAAATCAGAGGTGGTTCAGCTTGGAACACTATTACTTGGCTTTAAGAGAATAGGTTTTGCACATTAACAACTTGGCATTGCAACAGACATTGCAGCACAGCACTGTTGGACATTAATGGCAACCACACCACATAGTCAAAGCTTCATGCTTTTAGGGTTTGGAGGCATTGCAGACAATGCACAGAGCAAACTGTGATGCAGAGTGAATTATAGTTCAGACTTTGAAAATTTTAAAGAATGTCATGTTGTATTACAAAGTGTTAGCTGTAGGGCTTAACTGCAAGCTGTGGCACCAATACACTCCTGTGTCCCCAGGTGGTCCAGGGGGCAACAGGAGGAAGTACCCAGGTCCAGAATAGCAGCAGTAGTAAGAAATCACCAAAGAAGAAACAAGCTACTAGAGAAGAAAGAATAGGTACTGGTTACTGTTAACAGTGCATTTTTAGTGTATCATGTATTAAATGTCAAGTATATTGCAGTCAGCTTGATCACCAACCAACCAACCAATCATTCACCATTTATCAGCCAAGCTTTTGTACTTGTTTCTATGAATGTTTTATTTTTGACCAGTGTGACACAAGAAAATATTGGCTCAAACTGCCAGAGAATGGCCTTTTTTCTCATTCTCTACATGGTATTCAATAACACACACCAACAATCATCTTCCTAGGGGAGGAAAAATAAGGTCCTTGTAACTCAACTTGACAGACATGACAGAGGACTTCATTGTAATCTGGGTTTGAAGGTCAAGGGTAGCTGATAGACAACACCACTGTTAACACAGCTCCAAGTTCAAAGATAGCTGATATACATGAACAGGCATACAGACTTACAGAGTAAAGGTTGGAACTGCTTCATGTTTCACTGTCCTTCCAGATAAACTTGTTGGAGAGGACATGTCAATCATCAGTGGCTTAGCCAATGAGGACCCAGGAGGAGAGTCTTTCGAGGCCATGTTTGACAGGATGAAGGACATGAAAGGTTGGCATTGCAGTCTGTAATGTTACCTCTGAGTCACCATTTTTAAAATGTCCTCCTACCATTGTGGTGTTATCATCTTGTGAGCATGTATCCACAAAGTTCTTGGTAGAATCAAAGTTAAAAGCTTCAGGAAAATAACTTATGAATATGAGTTTTTGTCTGTTCATCATCAGATAAGGCTGCCAATCTTCCAGATCAAGACAGAAAAGCGTATGCTGAAAAGGTGGGCAATGTTTGTATTTCTTCTTTACATGGTGCTTTGACCCTGCCATTGTCTCTTGAGATCTGCTCATGTCAGACAGTATGGTTAATTTTTTCTCTGGCTGAAACGGATGATGAGAAAGAATACTAAGCTTGTCTGTATTGTGTTCCAGGTGGCCATTTCCTTCTGGCGTGCAATGGGTGGTGATGAGGAGGAAATTGAAGGACTTTCTGACAGTGATGAGCAGTGACAACATCTGCATAAAAAGGGAATATAGATTATACTGCATGTTTTAGAGATGGACCATGGAATTGGGGTTTACCCAGATTCCCTCATACCTGCAGTAGGAAAGGAAATGGCTCTGTCATTTATTTGCATCATTTGTTTTTGAATTGAGGATTTTTTAGAATGTAACTACTTTAACAATGCAAGATATTGTACTCCTGTTGTATTTGATGTAATTTATCCAAGCTATAATCATCATCATCACACAATCCATTTGTAATGTTTGAACAGAAAGCAGACTTCTTCCTGCATTAGCAAAATACTTTTGTCTCAATAATGTGTCCACTGTAATGGTCAAGTGAGTTGCTTTTCCCATGCTATGGAGTCATTACACAATCTTGTGTTGGTCACAGAAGAAAGCAGGGATAAGGTTTAGTAACATAGACAAGTACATGTACCATCTATGTCTCCCCTTTGACAATACATTCCGATAATATGCTACATGTAACATGGCAGACTCTTGAGGTCGTACATATGTTCCTAACAATTGAAGAAGTAGCCCTAAAAGTCAGGACATATCAGGCATTCTGCAAGATGAATTGATGCAACCCACCCTATGCAACATGACAGTCACATGGTCTTATTGCAAATGTGTATTTTCTGCTGGTTTAGCATTGGCAAAGTGTGTAACTGATGTGTAATGTTGAAATGTATCTGCTCTTGCTGCTATATTGTAATCTGGAGACTAGCATTGTTGAAGGCCATTTCAGAATATTTCATTTCAGAGGACTAAGTCAGATTTGAGTGTCTTTTGTTGAAGAAATTCTGTTCCAAAAGCCCTTTTAGAGCTATGATATCATTTGTCATATCATAGATGGAAATAAGGTTGTAAAATACATTAGACTGTAATGTTGTGTAGACTATAGATTAGATTAAAATCAAATTGCTTAACTTCCCAAGTAAATTTCTGTTTCATAGCTTGAGACCTAATTATTTATTCAGTCTAAGTCAACATTCACTGCTATTCAGCCAACAGGCTGTTGGGAAAACAGTGGCATCAGAAAATGTCACAATCATCATATCTACTTCATGTCATGAGGTCAATCTATCTTTAATAAAGTCTCCTATGGTCTGAATACAAAGACTTGTGTGGTCCTCTCATGCCTCTGATTTATGAACCTGTGATTAGACTGATATCAAAACGGTGAAAACATTGAACAGATAAAGCAACCTAGTTTTCTCAGCTAGCAACTGATGATGAATGACAGCTAAGTAATTGTAGCATTTAAACTGCACCATGAAGATAGTTATGTGAGAACAACCTATGGCACGATTGCACATTGTTTGAAACTCTCAGAATACAGGTCATAGAAGTTCACATGCAATTGTGCATACAATTACTGCAGAATGGTATCAATTTATTGAGAAATGACCACATGTAGTTCCAACAATGCACCAGGTATTTTAACATGAATTTCTGCTTCTTCCTGAGGTTACTGTTTTGATTGTTTCTCTCTGATGGTATATACAAGTTTATCAAGCTGTTCCATGAGTTCTGCATGTTCTCCATTGTTGGTGATGACAACATCCCACGTCACTCCCAAATCCAGGTCACATTCAGACTCAGCATCATCAACTCCTGCAACAAAAGATGACAGAATTCTTGTTATCTTTTTTACTTTCCTTGGCAAAGGAATGTTGTTACAATAATATTTGCCATAATATTAGAAGAAAGGGAGGACAAACTACATAGAGACCCATCAGAATGGTACCAGGTTACATCTTTGAAATGTCAGGCAATGTACCCACCTGATGTGAATACCCATCCTCGTTTTCTCCTTACTTCCTCCTGAGCCTCCACCCTAACACTGATAGCACGAGTCGCATACTTTTCCCTGAAGTACTGAATATCTGTCTTTCTCCTGGCATCCGTTATGATCCAGACAGGTTTTTGTGCTCCGGGGCATCTTGTTGCTAGGCGACAGAAGTACCCTGGGTCCTGGTTTCTCCTCTCCTCTCCCCATCTGATCATGTCTAACCTGTAGGTCTCCTTGTACTCTGAGGCATCCAGGAGACGTTGAAGATTGAGGTCATGTTCCTGAATAAAAAGGAATTAAGTTATGAGAGCACTCAAAAATGGCTAATTCCTTCCCATGAAAAATGTGCCTATTTTCTTGCCATATGTCAACAACTGATCTCAAATAGACACTGTCCAACTAAATCTTATACTAGTATTATATATAGTTCCTATGCACTGAAAAGTCGACTTGATCAGCAAAATGGTATCAAGTTCATTTATATAGCCAGTGTATATCCAAGGAGGTTTTAAAAAGACTTTTTGAACCTCCTTGGTATATCTAAGATCTGCATATCTGTTTTACAGATATCCCTGGGCACACATATTAAAAATACAGCCACGAAAACAACATAAGAATAATATACAAATAATGTTACAAGCAATGTCAATGAAAATATGACCTTTGTTATGAACATATTCGTTGATATTTTCACGATGAACACACGATGAAAATTGTACAACAGTGAGCTTCTTCTGTATTTACCTTTGCGTACTGAGATTTCAGTGGACCTGATAACCGCATGAGCTCGCAATTGTCTTCGCCAACCCTGGAAACAGAAACGTTACAGAAAAGTCAACAAACATTTCGTATGATCAATGGTGTGATCTCAATCAACAGTGACCATGCCTTGCAAATAGTGAAAAACTAGACTTTGAACGGAAGGAAGACAACAACAATGGCTCGAAGCTGACAGTGCTTGAATCACCTTCTTTGAAGGAGGTCGGTCACGAAATCTTTGCCAGATTTTCTCTTGCCGCTGAATATTACCACGGCACACGGCACTTCCGCATTGACGTCCGCCATCTTGGGCAGATGTATCACTCTCTGTGGGTAAACAGTTTTTGCATGCAGTAACTTTGTCCAAAAATATAATTCTGAGAGGTAAGGATACCAGCAGTCTGTTTTGTATGTGATGGTGTGCCTGAATTCAAGATTGCTATCACAACACTGACAAAATACGTTTCCAACAATTTGGTATCTAACAATGATCACCCCAAAATTCAAATCGTACAGTCCAGATAGCTGTTCTGTTTTATGAACATAACGTTACCCTCACCACCAGTAAATGATATTTGTACTCACAGCTTCTCCCATAACAAGTTCTCATAGAAAATCTTTTCATAAAAAACTTAGTTGCAATGAGTTAAAAGTGTTCTTAGCGCAGGCTTTAGGATATCGTTTTACGATGATCGACCATGTAAGTTAAGGAATATGGGGAGGGAGATTCGTAAATTAAACAGCCCCACAAATACAGTGACTTTGAGAAGATGGCGACCCGGGGGTCAGGCCGACCGCCTCCGAGACCAAGATCGCGAAATTCTCCTCCTGTTGGTCAGCAGGGGATGGGAGAGAGGATGCACCAAGGAGGAGGAAACAGGTACTCGTCGGGCAACTTCTGATCTGAACGCAGTCCGTCTTGCACAAACATTGTAACATCATTTTTTTTTCATTGAAGTATATTTGGGGAGGGGGGCACAATGGTTTCGTTTCGTTGTGTAAAAAAAAATTTGGTACTTCTGATTTATTTTTTGGAGACATTAGGACTCCGAAGTATCTGTTGAAGGTATCGCATGTTATTGTCGTTGCCTCCTCCCTTAAAAAAATTAATTACTTGTTATTCCAAGGAGGTTTAAAATCATTTTAAACCTTGGTTTCTGCATGGAGGTAAAAAAGAGATATGGTTTCTGAGAGAGGCTTCTCCTATAAATTTTGACTCAAACTACATGTACATGCATACCCATCTCGTTTGAAAACAGAAATTCTTTATTTATTTCATAACCTCTCGAAAAGCACATAAGACCTGCAAGAGAGGGAAGATGTAGTAAATTTTCCTGCTGCAATTCTGAATACATGTACCATGGAAGAGAATAATAAACTAGCATCTTGCAATATCTTAAAAGATGCCGTGCTACTTGTTTGGGCATATGCCACACCAGCCAGCCCACACCTATGATATTGAGTTGTGTATGTTCAGATCAGGCATGTCTCGTCCCGGGAGTGCCTCCCCACAGCCTGCTGGTGGAGAGGGTGGGAAGAGAGGAGGACGGCCCCCGCCTCTACACAAGAGAGAAATCTGCATAGATGAGGAGGTGAAGATTGCAGTCAGGATAGCTGTGGAGAAGTTCAGGTACAACGAGAGTCAGAAAGGTGAGTGTGTGTATTTTGACTATTCACAGTCCTGTCTACATCTGTTCCGCTTGGTTACATCATGTCAGTGAATACTAGTATGTGGTACATGCTGCGACTAACAATTTCTCTGTCAATTTTCCAGAGTATGAGTTTCCATCGAGTTTGACCTCTGTGGAGAGAGCCTTCATCCACAGGTACTGTCAGAGTCTAGGAATCAAGACAAAGAGCAGAGGGTGAGTGAACCTCTAATTTTGAAGAAATACTGTCCTGATTTAACATAAATTTTGCACCAACCTATACATGTAGAAACTTGTGCCAACACTCTACCCTGTTATCTTTACAGAAAGGGCAGCAACCGCTATTTGACAATCTTCAAAAAGGACAGCAGGACAATGGGGTTGGGTACAGCCACCTTCACCCTGTGTCGCAGTGCCAGGCACCACACTCACACCCTCCTGCAGAGGTTTCCTATCACGGGCAGGGAGAGACAGGAGCTCATGCCTAGGACTGAGAGGGGTATTGGAGAAGGTGACTTGGCAATACAGAATCAGACATTTTAGCTTGCAAACAAAGCATGCACTTTGAACAGGGATTTACATACTAAGTTAGAATAATGGTCAAGATAAAGGTTAAGTGCATACCAGTACATTGTCAACAACCCCTTTTTTCATTTTGAAGAAGAGAGAGCAAATTATGTTATATTAAAATGCTTTTTCTCTTTGGATTTTCAGGGCACAGTAGAGAAGGGAACAGAGCTTCAGGTTTGAATGGTCGCCTGAACAATGGTATCCAGCAGGTGCCCCCTTCTCGGGGACAGTCAGAGTTTGACAATTTTCGCCGGACGTTGCCTGTGGCTGTCCTGCAGGAAGTCATTGTCAAGACTGTCAATGAGAACCAGGTGGTGCTGATTGCCGGGGAAACTGGGTCGGGAAAGACCACTCAGGTGAGGGAGGCTTTTTTCAAAGTGGCAAGGACTGCAAAGAAATATACTTAATTTGTACACTTTATGCATTTCCTAGCATGAATTTAAAAGCATATATCTGTCTTTGTGATAAAATGTAACTTAGATTATAAGTCTACAGTGACCTATGATTTAAGAAACATCACACTGTCATTATAAGGTACTAAGAGTGATAGTAACTGAACATTCCACTTTTTTGCAGGTCCCCCAGTTTATCTTAGATGATGCCCAGTGTACCAACCGACCATGTCGGATCATCTGCACCCAGCCACGCAGAATCTCTGCCCTGACAGTCGCAGAGAGGGTGGCGAGTGAGAGGGGAGAGAAGATTGGCCAGACTGTGGGCTACCAGATCAGACTGGAAAGCAGGTGCTTGTAGCAACTTTACATGTATAATGGAGAACATCTTTTCGGATGTCTGCTGTTTCAGCAAGGAGGTTTGGCCTAAGTGGTATGTGTTTGTGTATAAGATTAATTGTTTATTTACTTTCCCTATGAACTGTCTATCTGCAGGGTTTCTCCAAGAACCTTGCTGACATTTTGCACCAATGGTGTTCTTCTGAGAACTCTGATGGGAGGGGACAGTGCACTGACCACCATCACACATGTCATTGTGGTACATAATATCATTTCCCTGTCAACAGTCACTTTTCCCGTTGATAATTGTTGAAAAGTTCTTTTGATGCATTATATAAGGCAATTCAGCCTGAAGTCCCTGGTTGGTTCTCAAGTTGGGACGATTATCAACTCAACTGCCTGTTGTCATACCTTCCAGGATGAGATCCATGAGCGAGACAGATTTAGTGACTTCCTGTTGATCAAGCTGCGTGAGATGTTGGGTTACTTCAAGGGCCTGAAGGTTGTCCTCATGAGTGCAACCCTCAACACTGAACTGTTCCAGCAGTACTTTGGAAGTTGTCCACTCATCAATGGTGAGCATTTACAACAGCCTAGTCCATTCTGAAAAGAAAAAATGCTATATTCAATGTAGATCCTCTTCGGGTTATTGTATTTAAATACATAAATCAAGTAAGCCTTAAGGGAGGGAGTTTTATGAGTAAGTAACAGAGAAATCATGGTTTCATAACACAAAGTAGCTTTTCCTACAGAATAGAATCTTATATGCAAAGCTAACACAATACAATTGATAACATCACAATACAAAAAAAAGTAAAAAAGTAAATGAAAGTGCATTTGAGAGTACAAGCATCTTTGCCAACATAACAAATTCATCAAATCCAACATCCTCCAGTTTCAGGAAACCTGTTTGATGTGACAGAATTCTTCTTGGAAGATGTTTTAAGAAGGTAAGTACAGCCCTTTATATGTCTTTGTAGTCTTTGAATCTGAGAGATTTTCCTTGTGAATCTTTATAATATCAAGTATTAAAAGTAATGAATGGTGTTGTCCTTTTGTCTTCATAGTACCAACTACTCCAACCAGAAGATGCAGAAGTACAAGAAAGAGAGGGGGCAATGTGAGTTACCTTTGGCCTCACAAAATTTGATTCATTTAAGATTGTAAAAAGCACTTATTCAGCAATATAGCAATTTATATGTCTACTTTGACTATTTCATTACATTTATAAAACATTGATAATAGGCAACATTGCATTATTTTTGATTCCAGTGGAGCAACAGCAGTCCTCACTTGACCAGTGGTACCAACAGGGTGGCACCCCCGCCCCGGGAGTGGTCAGTCCCAAAGAACAGCTGACTCAGCACCTGGCTGAGAAGGACCTGGACACAGCACAGCAGGAGGACTATGAGGTCAGCGACCTACAGGACATCCCCCAGGCATGTGCATGATGATCATCATTTACCCATGATTCCCCAGTTGGTTCTGTTGTTATCATACTAACCAAACATAACCGTTACAGTTCAGCATGTCTGAAGATTCTACAGTCACCTGCTCACCTGCTTGCAATTTTCTGTGTAACTTTTGTACAAGGGTTGACCATCCAAGTTTATGAAAGAAAAAAAAAGGAGATTGTATTTCATAATTGTTCAACCACTGACGGATGAAGACATTTTGGTAAGTAAAATTTACAAAAGACTTGAAACGAAATCTGTAACTAGCACCATGTTGGATTGCAGTGCATGTTGAGGTGTGATGCATGTACAGATGATCTCAAGGAAAGTCACCGAAATGTGAGATGGTGCTTATCTCTTACAATGCTTGATGCAGCATTGCTTCAAAGCTGAACTATTATCAAAGGGAAATTGCCAGTAAGATGCATAACTGAAAATCCAGCATATTAAACTTGTTATAAGCTTATCTAGTTTACTTACCTGTGGCTTTATTGGATAGACAGTTTTGAAGACTGACTACTCTTCTCCTTCCCTGCTCCAGGAGAGAGATGTGAGCGAGATGGAACCCTGGCTCATACAGGAGATGGATAAGTGCATCATGACTGCCTGGCTAAATGTAGGTTTGGTGTTTTAATCATAACCCAGTCTTGAAAAACCTTAGCAATATACTGTATTCATTTTATATAAAAAGCCATCATATGATTAAGGCAACATACTCTCAATTTTGTTAGAAATCCTGGCAATTATGTTGATTTGCAATTTTGACAAGCTTATTAAAGCAATTTGCTTATAGTAATGTATAGTTCATAAGAAGTACTTACAACTTACAACTACCTTTGATTGTCCCAGAATGATGCTGATGCGTATGTCCAGCTATTCCATCTCATCATGAGTGAAAATGTCAGTGGTAAGTAAACTACAGCTTCCCTTCTCTTCCTGTTCAGTTGTCATATCATCAGCACAGCTGCTTGCCACAGATTGTGTGTAGTACTTAGAAATAGAATGTTCCTAGTTTGAGTTCTTGACATATTTTCCTGCAGTTGACTATCGGCACAGTGAGACGTGCTCCACTACTCTGATGATTGCAGCAGGTCGAGGCAACGTGGCAGCAGTGGAACAGCTGTTAGCACTGGGAGCCAACATCAACCTCCGAGCACCCAATGGACTGTGAGTTTGCTTTAGAGCGCATTACACTGCTGTGATTTTAAATGTTATGGTGGGTTACTGAAGCATTGCTAAAGAACTGTACTGTAGAAGATAATGGCAATATCATATTTTTAAATTACCAAACCAACAACATTACTAGTACTTGCTCACAATTATTGTTTAGATTATTTATTTATGTCTAATTGCCAGATATGCACAGGATATACATTCTGTAATCATAATTCCTATTTTGCAGGACTGCTCTTGACTGGGCAAGAAAGTTTGGTCAGACAGATACTGTAGAGGTGCTAGAAGCTTATATGTAAGTACATGTATTCTTGATCTGACAAAAATACACTAGTCTACATTGTACTATTTCCATGTATGCTCCCAAAAATGGTTCTCAGTCTTTCCCTCAGATCTCTGTACATGTAAGTTGAATTGTCTTAGTATTTTTTTTCTGATCAAATGTGGCAAAACTGGACAAATGTGACAAAACTTTGATCAGACCTCTGATAAAAACTTGACAAGTGAAGCCATATCCATGCATACAAGTATCTGAAGTTCACTATTTCCCAGAGCATCCAGTGAGATCACTGTGAGTGATGACTCTCTGCTGGTGAGTGAGAGCAGCCAGCTGAGTGCAGAAGACAGGGAACTGCTGAAGGCGTACCACCAGAGCTTTGATGATGAACACGTGGACCTGGATCTCATCCTGTGCCTGCTCTTCAACATCTGTAGCAGTCAGGAGGAAGGTGCATTACATACCATCAGTGATACCCTGTTGTGTTTCTCCTCCATGGTTGCTTTTTCAGCTTGAAATGTACAAGAAATTGTGCATTTTTGGTTAGTTTGCTACAATATGTCCAAGCATGTACATATTACATGACATTACATGTTAGCCATTTATATGACATCTTGCACCCAAAATTAAGCTTTCATTCTTGAAACCTGACCTTGGCTACTTGTCACAGTGTTCCATAGATGGAGATCTACAATGTACATAACTACTATCCTGCTTGACAGCTTTTTTTCCATCAATAACAACATCATTATAACAGTTGTGTAGAACTGTACGTGCGTGCTAATGTGACTACCTTGTGATCTGTTAGGGGCCATCCTGGTGTTCTTACCTGGCTATGAGGAGATAGTGACCCTGCGAGATGCCATTATGTGGGACGACAAGAGATTCTGTGATACCAGCAGGTAGAAATATAATTGTTGTCTTTGTTCTTCTCCAATGAAGATATTTATGGTGTAAATATGGAGAGAAGGGCAAAACTTATCAGTAACAGGTATACCCTTTGTCCATTGTCAGTGTCTTGCACAGATTCACATTACATGTACCTGTTTTCTCCTTCTCACCATTCCTACAGGTACCAGGTGTATACTCTACACTCTGCTATGCAGTCAGGGGACCAGAAAAGGGTTTTCCAGCAACCCCCAGCCGGAGTCAGAAAAATTGTAGGTTTAAGAAACATTTCAGTTTTATACTAATGCCTTATTTGCTCTTGGTAACTTGTGAAAAATGTATTATTGACTTACAAGCCATTTTAGGACATTTTGGTTGTGAATTATTCTTTTTCAATTTTTTTTTCAGATCCTGTCGACCAATATTGCTGAAACAAGTGTCACCATCAATGATGTGGTATTTGTGATTGACTCAGGAAAAGTCAAAGAGGTGAGACTGCCGTAGTACACACAGCATGTCGTTGGGTATAAAGGAGGATGTTGTTTTTATGGTCTCGGACCGGAGTTTTTTTCACGATTTTGGATCCGGCGGACACCCTCAGACCGAAGGGCTATAACTCCGCCAAAAAAAGTACGCCGGGAAATCTCATTACATCAGTCAACGGAGGTTTCCAGCCGGCTTCCGATACAATTTTGGTTATTGTCCGTCGACTCTATAATTTGGGTAGAAACTGTAGTTAAACGTAAATTTTGGATACGAAAAATGTAGTTTTTTTGCAGTTTTTTCAACGGACCTGCTTGGAAAAAACGAATTTTCCCAGGCTTATATGCTGAAATAGCTTACTACTTTCTGTTTCTGAAAAACAGAAAAAAAATATAGGTTGTTGCGATAAGTTTTTCGCAAAATCCGGTGACGCGAACCCCTAGAAATTCCACATAGAACGCAGCTATTTGGGTCATCAGGCGACAAACTGCATCACCCTTGCTCGCGGACTAATACCAAAAACGCTTCGCTGGCCGTCCAACTTCACCGCGCCGAAAAACACTACAATCCCAAGGCTTTTTGATGAATTCAAAACCTAGTTGAAAATCTACAGCGATCGCCGAGCTATGGGGAGCCAAACCTAGCGTGACAACCTCGCAGATCCGGCGATTTACTGCGCACTATTTGGAACCCTGGTCAAAATTAAACTCCGACCCGGAACCTTATGATATATACTGGGAGCCCTCATTTAAACGTCCTCTGTCCTGTTTATGCAATACTAGTATCAAAAACTGATAATACATGTATATTGCTGTTTTTAACAATGTCTATCCATCTGTGCTCCATCTGTTTTGAAAACAAATATTTCTGTGTTTATGACTATTGGTCTGTTTGTTTTGCAGAAATCCTTTGATGCTCTGACATCTGTGTCCATGTTGAAAAGTGTATGGGTGTCTAAAGCTAGTGCCCAGCAGAGGAAGGGCAGGTAAAATGCTTTTATTTTGTCATTTTGCAGTATGAGGGTGGTGCGTTTCTGGTATTGTAATGATAATGAAATGCAAGACAGAACATTCTAAAGGGTTTGCATATAAACCAGAAACATGAAACCACAAAGACTCCATTTTGAAATTTGCATTGTTGTATAGTGCATCTTCCCTTTCACTAGTAACTTAAATACAGATACAAATTTTACATTTCTCTCACCCTTGTTCACACTTATGTTGTGTAACGTTTGTACAGTATATTAACATGGTTATTTCTCTCCTCCCCAGGGCAGGCAGGTGTCGCCCAGGTGTGTGTTTCCACTTGTTCAGCAGGGTGAGGTATGACAGCCTTCAGGAGTACCAGGACCCTGAGCTGCTCAGGACGCCACTACAGGTGCAGTCAGACACAGTTTATTCAGTCTAATCAGTCTAACAGTCAACATAGTTCTGTCATGCAGTTATGTCTATGAATTGTTACATTGCTAAAGCACAGGTGGGTTATCTTTTGGTTTTCATATCCATGTTGAAGTAGTCTATATGTTTGTTTCTTCAGGAACTATGCCTGCAGACAAAGCTCCTGTCTGCACCCAACACCCCCATAGCAGAGTTCCTGGCCAAGGCCCCCGAGCCACCTGCTTTCCTGGTGCTGAGAAATGCTGTGCAGTTGCTAAAGGTATGTCAGGTTTTCATGGTCAGCTGTCAGAGAGGTGTAACTGGAGAGTTAAAGGTTTTGAAAAGTCCCATTGAGTTTGCTAAGCTGATGAATAATGAATGACCTGGCTAGAGTCAAAGACTGCATAATGTGTTTGTATGTCCTGTGTTGTAGACTGTAGATGCCCTTGACATGTGGGAGGACCTAACAGAGCTGGGACACCACATGGTGGACCTCCCCATAGAGCCTAGACTGGCCAAGATGGTGCTGTACTCTGTTGTCCTGAAGTGTCTGGACCCTGTCCTCACCATCGCCTGTGCTCTGGCATACAGGGACCCCTGTGAGTACATGTACCTCAACAGTCATGACTTTCTATATTTTAACTTGCATCCAAAATTGAGAAGAAGGTGGTTCTATCACTTTAACTTAATATCCATGCATAATCTTGACCTTTTCCTACCCAATCCTCAGAGAATGTGTTCCTTGACTTTTCACTTAATGAGGAAATAAGGAGAATATATCCAGTGTTGATACAGAATCATTTGATTGCTTGATATCATGCATTGTTTGCAGTTATCCTGCCCAACCAGCCATCCCAGAAGCGTGCAGCTGTGTACTGCAGGAAGAAGTTCTCTGCTGGTGCTTACAGTGATCACATGGCCCTCCTGAGAGCATTTCAGGTGAGTATATGGAGTGCCAATAGATAGCAGTTCACCCTCAGATCCAGGGGCAACCTGGATTTCCAGAATATTCAAGCAAACATTTTTTTAAAGATTAGAGGGGAAACATCCTGCATTTGCTTGCAAATATCAATGCTTCATTTTCCACCGTATTGTACTTTTAGGGCTGGCAGAAGGCCAAGAGTGATGGCTGGGAGCGCAGTTTCTGTGAGAAGAACTTTCTCTGCCAGGCCACCATGGAAATGATCTTTGGCATGAGGTGGGTTTTGTCTAAAAATGATTGCCTTCGTTTAACTCTCTAAAGGAAACTCATTTCTGTACCATATGTACTGGAGAGTTTGTTGGTGATTCTTAAAATTCAGCCTCTTAAATGTTAGTTATGGGAGTTAGCCCCTTATGTCCAGACATTTTACATTGCACTACAATGTAGCGGCACCTGTTGTGTTTCAGGACTCAGCTGTTGGGTCAGCTGCGGGCCTCTGGGTTTGTACGCGCTCGAGGAGGAGGGGACATCAGGGACCTGAACACAAACTCCGAGAACTGGGCAGTCATCAAGGTAATCATCACACACATTAAGTATGTTGAAGAACCTCCTCTTCAATTAAGATACATTTTCTAGTATTACCTGTATTTAGTCAAAATGCTGTCACTACAAAACATGCATATCAAGTTTACTACTTTTCTGCCTTTCTCAGGCTGCCCTGTGTGCTGGGAGCTATCCAAATATGGTTAGAGTGGACAGGGAAAACCTCTGGCTGACAACACAGTAAGGCTTAATGCAGTCTGATTGTTCTTTGCATTTGTTACATGTATTGATCTGTATTGACATTGCAGATTTACCATTAGTATCACCCTTGCCTTTTTTTGTCCAAGTAATATGGGAAGAGTTCTTCTGTGATCACTATGACAGGGACTGTTGCTTTGTGTCTAGGATGGAGAAAAGTGTTCGTTTCCACAACACTTCTGTTCTCGGACAAGCGGCAAACCCAAAGGTCACAGTAGCGCTGTCTCACGCCCAGAGTGTCACCAAGCTGCCCACTGATTGGCTGGTGTATGAGGAAATCTCAAGGTGAGGACAGTTTATCATGGCAGAGCCTGCATGGCAACATTTATCTAATTTTCTCATTACTGGTTAGTACATGTAACACAAAAAAGCAGTACACATGTGTTGTACCTGTACAATATTATTACAAAATGTAGTACAAACAGTACGGTATCTGTCAGATGATCCTAGGATATATGTTGAGCTACTTTGAGCATTTCATTACCAAAATGAAGAGCATAGCTTATGAATGTATTCCAATTTTAGAATCATAATTTTTCCATAGTACTATTAGTAGGCAGGTACCACCATCCTAGTAGGTCATCTGTATTTAAGACATGTACCGGTACCTGCCCCCCCCCCTCCCCCAGGGCACACCGTTATGCCTATGTGCGATGCTGCACACTGATGAGCCCCGTCACAGTCGCCATATTTGCAGGCCCCTCACGGCTCCCACTGGATGCTCTGACGGACCCCAACGCACCTGACAACAGACCAGGGGGTGAGCTCTTGACCCCTTTTTATTATAATTGAAATTTATCAACATTCTCATTGGACCTTTATGTGAATTTTCATCATTATCATCTCTTTTGCTGTCTTTTAGTCTAAAGATTATTCTGTGGCTTAAGTATGACCAACAATCCATAAAGTGTTGGTGTTGTCAATGGAAAAAGAGTACATATTTGAGTTGTGTTCCTCAGGTGATGACCAGTTTGAGAACTACAGTGACAGTGGAGGGGAGGAGGGGGAGAACAACAAGCGTGCCACTACCAAGTTGGATGACTGGATTTCTTTCAAGCTGGATTCAGAGGTAAGGTGGTTGATGGATAGCAGCAAGTTATGCACCAATCACAGCAATGAATAATATACCATCATGTTGTTTGTCTATTAGTAGTAATATAGGGGAAGAAAGGATCTAAAATGTGTTTCCCTGTTCTCAGGCGGCCCACCTGCTGCTGCAGCTGCGGTACAAATGGCATTCTCTCTTCCTGCGCCGCATGAGAGCACCTGCCAAACCATGGTCACAGGTGGATGAGGTAAGGACCTAGTCAAACAATTCCCTGGAAACCTGCACACCTTAACAGATATGAACTCATTAGTTTGTCTGAAAAGTCAACCATAAAGGGGCATTCATCATGTAAGGGCTTATACAGCCAAGGAAGTGGCAGGTTTGCTTCCCTCTTGTAATGGAAAGAGATTGTTCCCAAGTTCTGCAGTAGTGAGGTTGTTTTCCTCTGTCCTTCAGGGTGTTATCAGAGCTGTGATTGGTGTGCTGTCCAGCGAGGAGCAGGCCCTGGGCCTCCAACAGCCTTCTGGGATAGGACAGAGACCACGCCCAATGTGTAATTAGCCAAACATTATCCCTACAACTGAGATTTAATACAATCATTTATCCTATCAGAACTGGGCTCTGTGAACAGCTCATGATGGTAGGAAGGTTAAATCAATGTCTGGAACATGATGTTGTTTTTGTGTGCAGACTAATTTAAGCCTGTTTGGGTCGAAAGATGATCATATCCAAGTTGGTCAGAAGAGAAATCTGTATACAATGTATTTTTATTGAATTTTCTTATGTGCAACAAACCTCTCACAACGTTGTGCCATAGAACCTTCATTCCCTGCATTTTCTGCATTCCCACTGAACCATTTCATCACTGCGTTCGAGCCTGTGCATTGCCTTTCACAACTTTACCATGTAGCTTTTACATTCATCTCATACTGACTTCCCACCCGGTGTTTCCCTTTTCCTTCTGCCCTGTTCTGTTCTTTTTTTTGGTTTTGTCCCAGTTAACTGGGATTTTTCCTCTTCAGCCACAGAGTCCTATGGTTCCCAGAGGGGCAGTAGGAAGAACTCAACTGAGGTATGTACATAATGTACATTGTAGGATGTAGGCCCTTACACATCAATGTTTTTCATATTATTAACATACTTTTTGCAGTTGTCTTCAATCATGAACAAATAAAAACCAGGAACATTTATATTTCATAGTACCAAGCACCTGAACCCTCATTCCTAGCCTTGTGGAAGGTTAGTACAGTCCCAGCATGCACCTGTTCCAAGTTCCCTGTTTCATGTTGTTGTTTGTCACCAACAAAAGCAGTTCATACCTGTACATTGTATATTCAAAGTTGTGCAACATAGTTGGTCTTGCAGATTATCACACTTAGTAGGAAGTTCTTGTACACAATGTTGCTTTCAGATTCATTTCCTGTTGTACCTTGGAGGAGTTAAGTTGGACTAGAAAATGTTTCATCTGTCACAGATCTACAAAAACTACTGTTTGTATCTAAGTGAAACAATTTAATGATGAATTTCCATTTACTATCAAAATTTCTTTCCTTGTAGTCGAACGAGTCAGTGCCAGTGGTAGAGGAGAACAAGGGTGACAGGTCTGTAATGCTTCAACTGAGTTCTAATTGTGTTATTTTGAACTTAAAAGTTCAACATTCATACATTAACTGTATGATCTACAAAGTGGAGCCGCAACCCCTGGTTGAATTATTGTTGACTTTCTCCCAGGTTCTACCCACGAACCAGCCCAGCCAATAGGGAGAAGCGAATCCTGAAGAGAGATTACAGTAAATAACACATTTCTACCTTTAGTCTTGAGTTTCATTTTCATCTTTGTAGAAGTCATACTTCATAATGTATATGCAACAAATGTTTGAAGCCTTCTTATGGTGCTACATACAAAATGTAGTGACAAATTATATACTATGAAAAGACAAAACATTTTTCAACTACACACATTAAGTGACAAGTTGAATGTAGGCTTCAAGAACTTCTGTCATCACTCGCTTGAAATATGAGAAAATGTATTTCATGTGACTAGTGTTAATGGTACATGTATATCTGTAAATAGTTTCATCAGTTTGGTAAATCACTGGGTATCTGCCCCATGGATGGTAGCAGAAGAACTAATGAAGTATTGGCATGTAATTGGTATGTGTTATATAAAAACAACTTATTAAATACCCTGTTAATGTTATACAGTACATGTTCCTTTTTACATTTGACACAGGGTCTCCCCGAGAGTTTGATAACCGTTCAGATCGCTCGTCAGTGAAGTCTGCCTCTGCCAATAGTAGCCAGGCCTCCAGTCGTACCAGTAGCTGCACCACCAGCCCCTGCCCCTCACCCAACCACACCAAGGGTGGGGAGAGAACCCCACCCTCCTCTGCCTCTCCAGCAGGATGGGGGGAGAAATACGCCCCCACAGCGGGTCAGGACACCCCCCTTCGTGAGCCCCAAGGGTGGGAGGACACCACAACAGTCTCCAAATGTCAGGTTATGGTTGTCATTCCTGGATGGATGTGTGGGTTATGCCGACTGCAGTCTGTTCAGCTCCAGCTATGTCAGTTTAGCTGAATGTGAAATTAAAGATGCCAACATTTTATAGGAAATGTCACATGCCAGTTTTTTCCATCTGTAATTTGTTGACAGAAGTGACAAGTCCTTATCTCCTGGAGCTGGTGTCTCAGATCCCAACCGTTACTTCATCCTGAAGTGCAACAACCAGCGCAACCTGGACATCGCCATGAGCCAGGGTATCTGGGCAACTACGCCTAGCAACGAGAAGAAACTCAACAAGGCTTTTAAAGTTAGTGGGAAGCTTGTTATGATTTCATTTAGTTACCGTTGCTGGGAACTGGTACCTTTCCTCAGCAAAACCCTCTTATTGTTGAATCAACTTCAAAGTACAAACATAACTGTTAGATTCTTAAAAGTTTGAACAAGGAGCAGTTCTAGTGTAAGACATACTGGATATTTATTCACAGAAATGAGATTATTAATGTGGTTATCTTCCTTCTTTTGGAGCAATATTTTCCATGTTTCTTGCACAGGATTGCCAGAATGTGTACCTGGTCTTCTCGGTTCAAGGTAGTGGGCACTTCCAAGGTGAGATAAAGTGGTTTACTATATGTGTTCCATAATCAGTAATAGTTCAGTAATAGTACACATGCATGTGTGACATGATGACAAACTGTGTTTAATATTTCAGAATTGAAGCGACCTGTATGTTAAATATTTCTTGACCTTTTATGGTGTTTAAGCATGGTTGAGGGAGTGAACTCATTGAATTTCTTGATTCCATGACTACTAAACTGTAACAGTGTTGTTTATCATGTACATTACATTATTCTGCAGGGTATGCTCGCATGGCGTCCTCCATCAGTAAGGACAAGGTTCCTGAGTTCAGTTCAGCCTCCCTGGGAGGGGCCTTCCAGATAGAGTGGATTAAAAGGTTGGAATTGACACATGCTACCCAGGCTTTTGTATCTATAGCATCTCCAGCATTCTCTTTCAATTTTCTTGACATGGCACATGTATATGGCATGAGTTTGTTACTGTTTGTGATGAAGCTTCCCTCCCTGTTGTAGAATGAGCATCCCATTCCAAGCTGCCCACCACCTCTTGAACCCATGGAATGAGAACAAGAAGGTCCAGATCAGTAGGGATGGTCAGGTATGCATCATGTAGATAGAGTGAGCTTCTCCATCCAAAATGTGTACGATGAATGTGATTATTTGATTCTATCCTATCATTTGTAAACATGGCACTGTAACTTGTTTCTTTTGGAGTCGCACTCATGTTGTCATGTGCATGTATCATCACAAACTAAGTGCTGAATGTAACAGTTGAAACTCGACAAAAAATTTGTGGTATAGATATTATTATCACAGTGCTATATCTTATGTTTTGAGAGAATTCGCACAAGTACACTTATGTATGTGATTTTTTACCCCAGGTCAGGAAATGCTTTCGGATAGTTTTATTACCCCTGATACTGAACAGAAATGTATTTGAGCAAATAAAAACCATTCCTGAGCCTTTGCTGATCCGTTATTACCCATGACAATGATTTGATTTGAAGAAGTATAGTCTGTTGCTATATGTAGATACATGTACTAGTAGATGTTCATAACGAGGATAAAATTAAGCATTCTTTTCCTCCCCAGGAGATCGAGCCGCAGGTAGGCGAGCAGCTGCTGAAGGCGTGGGACCGTCCTGTCACCATCCTGAACAGGAGTCCAGGCAGCAGTCGCCCCTCCTCACGACCTTCCTCAGGACCGCCCTCCAAAAACATCCTCCCCACAGGGGTCGCCTAAAGGGCAGAGGTCACAGGAGCAGAGGTTTGCTGGAGGTCAGAGGTCAAAGGCAGTGGAGCAGGGAACAGTAACCAGCTGCCCATCCCCCCGGTACACTGGCAAG